ACGTCGTTTCAGAATATGACGCCGGTAGCGGTAGACGGAAGACAAGGTGTCACGGCAGGCGCCGGCGCCGGGGTCTTGAATCAGGATGGTAAGGTGGTTGTTGGCAAGGTTTCCCAGGCCTCTGCAATGTAAGTTAAGAGGATATGATATTTGGATTAGTTTTACATACACTTATTATTAATTGTTGAAAATAAGAAAGAACGAAAGGAAGGATTTTTATATATTAATTAATATAGTATATAGTATAGGTTTTCGGTGAATGTTTGTTTGTTTGGTGTGATTTTCTGGAAATGGGGAAACCTTTTTTCTGGTGTTTGGTGGTGTTTGTCTTGACATTGTTCGTTGTGCATACGAGGAGTGTAAATTTTTATTGCTTTGTGATTACCTGTTTATTAGCAGCTATTTATCTAGATTCTGCTGATTTACTGAAACCTTGAAATTTATATAATATTTCTTATGCAAAAGTAAGATGTAAAAGATGGTTAACAAGAAGAAGGGAAATGCTTAAAACCCCAAACAAAACAAACGCCATTGGGATTAGGCGCCATTTCTTATTTTAAGAGAGATCTGTATTTTGATATGTTTTTATCATGATAGATTTATTTATTTTTCGAAAAAGAGTTACAAACAGCGAATGACCCAAAACACAAACACCAATGCTTTCTATTTATTTATACAAGCACATGCTTCACTTTGGATAACTAGTTAAATTACATTCTGCACTTTTTATCTTTTTCCCGCTGAAGTAGTTTTGTTGGCATCTTTTGTCCTTTTGGTGTGAATAAAGTTCTTCAAAGGTAACATTGTTGGGCCGCTCAGTTTCAAACACTGAAGGTAATTTTATGGCTCGTTTGGTTTATACGTTTAACTTTTAAGTTTAAACAGAAATTTTAATATTTTATGGCCCGTTTAGTTCATACGTTTAAACTTTCAGAAATTTCAATTATATATATAATACTGTAGCAAAAAGATCTAAACAATAATTCAAACTTATAAAACAAATGCATGGTAAAGCTCTGCCTTCGTAATTGTTATATAATTGAGAGAAATTATTTGTACATTACTAAATGGATTTCGAGTTGATTCAAAATTTTAAGTCGGACCTACCTTGTTTCTGTTGTTGGAGGAAAAGGAATGGGCCATCGAGTTTGTCTATCTTTGTTATACAAGTGGGGCTCTTTACATGGAGGGTTCATTTGAATAGAGTAATGGGTATCTTTTAGAATTTCTGTTATTTCCAGACAAAATCAAATCTTACTGCAGGTATTGCTGAAACCTTTTATGCTGAACATTTGTCCCCTTTTAGGGCATGTGCTATGGAACCATGTACCAAGTAACTATGAGCTTCAGCAAATGACTATATATAATTCTGGATTTCGTCGTCTCTAGTTATACTCGTCTAATCCCATGCAATAAGGCTGCAATCAGCACATATATGTATATATATATTATGTTATATATTATATGTTTGTTTGTTTTTCAATTGTCATGCAATTTCTTACACCCTAGTTAAAACAGGACAGAAATGGTTTACTTTACAAGGTGAATAGGATCGCTGGAGAATGACCCTTGCTATTACACAACCGATTAGCTTTTTATTCACCAAGATATAGTCTTGGTTCTAAAAGGTTCCATATTGCGCAGTCTATTACATACATGTCTATCCATCTGCTGCTTATACACAACAACGGCCTTCTGCGGCTAATATAAGTGCATCGACATAGCAAGAACCATCTGTGACTAGCGTCCGTGCATCAACACAGCTAGAGCCATCAGCTGGTGTGCTGACATTGAAGCCAAAACCACTGCCTTTTTCTAACGTCGCCTCCACCGCCACAGCTACTCCCACAGCCACCATAACCTCCACAGTTTCTCACTCTATCTTTGTGCCAGTTGTGCCTGGACATCCGCGGGTCGTGTTTCATTGTGGATTGACGCTTGTAACCGTTTTGTCCACGGGTTTTGCTTCCTCCTTTTTTCGATTTCTACAGTCTCTAGCGGCTTTAGTTGGACTCCATTGGTAGTAAAGTTATTGTAAGCATCTTTGCTCAAAATGTCAGACAAAATAAAGGCTGACAAGACCCCGGGCAATAACAGCCAGTCTTCCCCATCAAGTAACCAACTTTAGTCAGACTCACAAAGATGCTTGTTCAACGCTCTTTTACATTCAATAAACAGACAACTATACCTCTTAGAAATCCAGTTTTTACAAGTTGAACAAAGCCATGGATTTTCCGTCAGGATTTTCAGCTGAAAATTTAACGGCTGCTATGAAATTCTTCTCATTTATCGCTTTGACACAGTTCTTAGCCTCATACCCCATTCAACGGGGAATTATAATTACCTTTAATCAAGAATACATAGAGAATTTGGTTAGTTTTCTCTGCGTGACATTCATCAACATCATATTCAGTCATCTACGTCCAAGTGACATTGATGCTTGCTCGCCTTTTCGCTTCCATTAGCTTGAAAATATGTTCATCTTCCCATATGTTATCGCGAGCTGAAAGAACCAGTAAGAGTTAATCAAAGACCACCCTTTTACAACAAATTCTGCAATCACAAGTGCCTCTCCGGAGGGAGCCATTCCTATCACTTTTTTTTTTGGCTGTCATTTTTTCTTGCTTACGCTGAATGCCAGTAATTCATCTCAAAGAGGCAGAAATTATCACTTGGAGTCTTATAGATCCCCATGCATATAATTCACCAAATACAACTTGGTCATCTAATATTTAGAATATTGAAAACGTCACGGCGGTTTGATCACAATTCTGTTACGTTAACAGTAATTCTAGTTTCATAACAAGAGTAATCAAGACGTGATGATCTACAATTCAGGTCACTGACACATATTTCAAATCTAAATGGCAATACCATATATAGATATTCTTATGGTAGATATTGACTCATTGTTAACTGTGAAGTACCTCATTTGGAGACTGATAAGCTCGTTATTAGCCTCATCCACTTTAGATCTCCCGCTTTTGGAATTTTGAGAAGAGTTTGAAAATGGACGGGACCAAACCATGTGCAGCTTATATGGTGAGGCGGTGAGGGAGTTCAAGGAGAGAGCGAGGCGTAGACTCATGTGCTTCAAATCAGTACCTCCAGAACTTGGGATCAACTCAAAACCACTTCTCAACTGTCAGCTTGGAAGCTGGCTTTAGGAGGTCTACTAGAGAGATTTCTGCAGTGCCCAACACTTAAATAGGATTTGATTTTGGCAAGCTTGAAGATGAATATGACGTTAGTTCGAAAACCAGCTCTCCAGTAGGTTCAAATTGGAAAACAGCAACCTGGTGCTGTGCTGATAAGAAGAAAGGTCTAAACTTCTCTTGGTGTGAAGAACATATCTGGTTGTTTCTTTCTAGAGGAGACAAAGAAGCTGCCCTTGTCCCCGGTTGGTATATCTATAACCGCCACAATTTCCAGCATGACCTGGATGTCAATTAGAATCCATAAAGTGTAATAAGAATCATATCTGTTGTCTGGTTACTGAATTAGCTAGCTCATATAAAGCAAAAACATAGTAAACATGAGTACCGGTTGGGTGATGTTCATCATACGGATCAAATTTAATCGCGCAATGATATACAACATGACATGTGATTCATGTAGTGATCATAATTACTGGTGAGAACAACTCGAGTTAGTCTGAATCATAATGAAGTTAAAGATGACAGATGACAAATTATAACTCCACTAGCTTTCTTCTCCGGAGATGAATCACTTTCCAACACCCATCTAGCGCGACCTTCTCCTCTATGTCCTATGATGGCTGCAAATCGTTTCAAATCCACACCAAGAGGAGGTGGGACACTGGCAGTGCCTCTGTACATTGCTCCCGCCCTCTAGTAGCTTGAACCAAATGTCTCTTCCCATTGCTTGGTGGTCTCGGAAAATCCGACATCTTGCTTTTGTCCTTTGGTTCTATCAGTGGCTGTATCATCATGACTTAAAACCGCAATAATTGTCATGAAAACTTTACAGTAAGAAGAAGGGTGTAACTGATATGAGGTCAATTTCGTAAGTTGGCTGTTAGGATCCTGGTTGAGTCCCACATTGCTAAGTATGGGCTTAGCATGTGGGTTTATAACCATTTGGGCACCCTCTCCCTACAAGCTAGCTTTTGGGGATGAGTTCTACCCAAGGGTTATAACAATTGGTATCAGAACATGCTCCTCCTTAGGCCCACGTTGCGGAAGGGGCGACCTGGAAAGGCCAGAGTGGGCCATCCAGAGTGGGCCGCCGTGGACGTCGGTGTCGGAAGCGTGGTGGTATGTTAGGATCCTGGTTGAGTCCCACATTGCTAAGTATGGGCTTAGCATGTGGGTTTATAACCACTTGGGCACCCTCTCCCTACAAGCTAGCTTTTGGAGATGAGTTCTACCCAAGGGTTATAACATTGGCGCACAAAATCTCTTTGTAGACCTCTCCTTGTTTCTCTTGATCATGCGCAAAAACACCTTTGAATCTGGCCACGGCTCCTTCCACATCGAGATTGTCATTCATGTGGGTCTGGATACCTGTTGGGGTTATTGGTTTCATACTTCAGAAAAATGGGTAGGGGAAAATGAGTGCAAGGACATTGTTAAGAGGACAAAAGCGGTCCAATCAAGTACTGTAATTCTCTTAAATCAATATTTTGAGATTTTGATAACTTACATGGGAGGACCCTCGTCTGCAGTCCGATTCTAAGGGCCAAAAACTAAGTTCCATAGCTTATAAGTGTAGAAATAATGGACTGTTTTTATCATTCTCTCATTTGTAAATCCCATTGGATAAATGATGTGCAACATCTAAAACAGATGAATAGCAATTTTGGTGCTTAATTGAACCTTAAACGAGATCAGAACTTTTGAGAACGAAGGATGATCTTTCTGTAGATACCATGAGGATTGAAGCAAGAAAAAGGGACAAGGGACAACTACCAACTTGATTACCTGGTAAAAGAAAGAAGTTCGCCTTTTGGCAGCCGAGAGTAGATCAATTTTGGTGCTTTTTGAAGCTTCAAACTTTTTTCCGGATGTCGGAGAAGAAGCAGTTCATAAGCCTCATTAGGATTAACCCTGTTCCATATTTTTTCCATCTGCTTCTTGCACGTTTTTTGAACAGATGATATAACATTTCGGTTGTCAAGTATTTTACCATAGAGACTCACAGTCTGTGTTGTAACCAACCTGGAAAAAAAAAAAAGAGAAAAAAAAAAAACCAAACAAATGTAGCTTGGATGAGAAACACATTTTTCTGGTGGATCATGGAAGAACATTTCACAAATTATGTCAAGTTTTTAGCCTGAGAATCCGACCGGGTTAAGCCTATGACAATGCCAAATCCATTCACAATCCAAAGGCACAACTAAAGGGCCTTCTAAAATCTTAGACTCGGTATGTTTGGCAAGTAAGGGAAGCCAATGATATTAGTACCTGAAATTAGCAGAGAACAAAAATTATGTTCTCTTGATTTTCCAAAAAATTCAAAATTCCTTGATTCACAAGTAATGAAATTAGCATACTGGTGAATGTCCCTTTCTAAGGCGGGGCCACCATAGAGGTACCAGTTCCGATCAATAGCAGCTACAAAATTGTTGCTATTGTTTAGCTGCAGCGCAAGGTCGTCACTTCTCTCAATCTTTTGTGCTTCTAACCTTTCAAATTCTTTCTTTTTATCCATTTCTCACTTGAAAATCAGACTAACCAAAGAAGGAAAAAAAAAAAAAAAATCTTTGAATTCAGTTGTGTAACCTGAAAACCAGATAAGGAAACGGGGTAGGCCCTGTGAATTAAATTATAGGTCGAAAAAGGTGTCAAACCAAAGAAAAAAGAAAAGAAAAGAAAAGAGAGACAAGTAAGGGAGGAGATCATGTGATTTGTTAGTTAAGATTTGATAGGTAAGTTCAGATATATACTGTAGTGTACAAAATCCAAACGGGAAGTTTGAGAAATGAGCAAAGCACCCAATTGCCCTTTCTTATTAAACAACAATTGCCCATGTTGGCCTCAATTCTATGGCCATGCTCACACTTTTGGATCTCCAGTGTACTACCTGAAAATGGTTAGTTTTAGTGGAAATTCATAACAAACACAGAGGGATGAGATTTCTCTATTACTTAGAGAACTGATATTCTGATAAGTGGTTGAGGATCAACAAAAGTATTATTATGTTTAGTTGTCATGGGTTGGGTGTGAACTCCTTGTAGGGTATCTGGGCAATTAAAGCAATCAATGAAACAACTGTTACTTTGTTAGACTGTTAATATCAGTTGCAAGATTTTAAATGTATGATGTCCCTTACTCGCTTGAATGTAAAAATCCTTCAAATCTTGTTGAACCCATAAATAAATGGGGATAAGTACTTAAAAAACTTTCCTCGTGTTTTTTATTTCATGTAAAAAACGTCCCTTTTGGCTACATTTGGTCACACTTACTATGAGAAAAAATAGCATTTTAATAGACCACAAAACACCTTAAGTTTGATTAATTAAATCAATCTCGCAGTTAAAATGGTTTTTTTTTTCCTGCTTCGCAAATTGATTAAATCTGAAAAGTGAAATTAAACACACAAGATGATAATGACATTTCTAAAAACACAGGATAAAATGCGGACACAAGGGATTTTAGATACTTATACCTAATAAATAATACGACTTTGAAAAATAATGCATCCGACCTACTGAGGTTCATTTTTTCCCTTGTTAAAATTACAAGGGTCTGAATTGATTTGATACTGACGAGTGAACAATTTGCAACCTTTTGAGGAAATTTGACACGCATCTATATTCATTTATGATAGAAAGATACAAGTCATACACCTAACATAGTTAGACTTGCACACCCAAGATACAAAAAAAAAACACCTTTGAGTTCATTGTCAATGTCAATGGCCTTTGTTAATTTCAATCTGACACCTAACTTAAGCCCACTTGTACTTAACAAGGAATTGAGATATTGACCTCATTGCTGAAGTTATCAGCACACAAAAAATGTTCCATTTTTTTCATCAATTTGAAACTCTAACACCTCTTGTACATTTTTATTCATGTGTTCATGGGCATTTTAATAGTCATGAATTCAGGAAGAAAAAAAAAGGGGGTCCCTCTTGATTTGCAATTTTGCACTACTCAAACTTGATTAGTAGAGAGACTTTTTTAGAAGATTATTAAGAAGTGGAATGAGGATGACGTCCAAAGTGGAAGCAAGACATGAGGAGAAAAAAATTAGAGTAAAAGGAAAGTGAGTGGGAAGTGGACCTCCCTCACTTTCATTTTTCAACTACAAAGTAGGTATGAAATTATGGGCTTCACATAGGAGGCAAAATAATAATAATAATAATAATAATAATCCTTTATTATATGATATGATTTAAAGGAGAAAGGAAATTTTATGTTTTGAATATCTACTCCTCTTTCTCAATATTTACACTGTGGTGATGCTTATCCAAACTCCAAAACAATATTCAAACACAACTTACAAGGCAATCATCTTTTTGAAGGATAAGCCAAAAGTAGCCACTTTGAATTCCAAGAAGCATCCAAGCTTTTCCATGTTGTAAGATCAACTCTGACATTATTGTCTTATGTTTTTTTTTTTTTTTTTTTTTTTTTTTTTTTTTTTTTTTTTTTTTTTTTTATGCCTAGTGTTAGGCGAGGCCTCTAGTAACAAAATTCACCTTGATAAATTTATTTATGAAAATTTTGCCTGGAAAAAAAAGTATGTTTCTTTCTAGGGCCGTTTAGTTCGCTGATTCGAGTTTTTAATTTGAGTTGAGATGTGATTTTATGTGAGAGCTTTTTACTGTAGTAAAAAAATTAGATGTGATTGTTTGTGAGAGCTTTTTACTGTAGCAAAACTCGAATTCTAAACTCGAATCAGCGAAATGAACGGGACCAGCTTACACCAGAATTTGAATTTAAATCCACTAAAAAAAACTGAGGGCCCGTTTAGTTCGCTGATTCGAGTTTTTAATTCGAGTTAAGATGTGATGTTATGTGAGAGTTTTTTACTGTAGCAAAAAAGTTAGATGTGACTGTTTCTGAAAACTTTTTAATGTAGCAAAACTCGAATTCTAAACTCGAATTGACGAAGTGAACGGGACCTGAGTTTAGTTTATGGCCATTTTTGAGGAACTAGCACGTGTAAAACTACTAGGACTAGGATGGCCCATGTGCTCAGGAGATTAAAGAATAGATGACAATGCTAAGGACTTTAAGTTTTTGTAGAGGTTATATTGCTTTATGTCTAAAATCAAATATCAAATATGATATAAAACGTATTACCAGTTAATATGTTTATTTATATTTTGTCTTTTTTTTTATTACCGAAAACAAACAAACCATTAAAAATAATACATACTTCGTAACTCTTGAAAAAATCAGGAATCAAATGCGAATGATCAGTTCCTTAGACCAAGTCATTAGCATAATTATTACTGCCACTAATTAGCATAATTATTGTTGGTGCCTCTATCAAAACCACTACTGCCGCCACACCACGACTTTAATTTGAGAATTAACGCGCATTATCGAAATTGAACATAGTTAGCTAAATAAGTCTTTTCCCTCTTCTAAATTGTCCTTCGGCTGCATTGAATTTTTAAATTTTAATTCCTTATTTCATCATTTTTTAACCTAATTTTTGTCTCTATTTTATCACTCATCCTTGCACCTCAAATATTAATTTCCCAACTTCTAAGTTTTGAAACCATGTGCTGAAATTTTATTTTTCTTTTTTCTTTTTTTAAAATCTATGCTGGCAAACAAGTCTAAAAAATCCAATTGAATTAGTTTATTAGCCTAAATCAGATTAAAATCAACAAAATTTGAAAACGCATCAGTAATATTATAAAGATCACATTACGTTAATCCTCACAAAAAGCCGAGGCTAAACCAAAACGAATCACGGCCCTTGCCCCTACACATAGAAAGAATTCCTAATTACAAAAATCCCTTTTCTAATATATGGATATTTTTCATCACCCAAAAATGAGAGAGAAAAAGCCACTAATCAATTTATTAAAAAAAAACCCACGAATAATCTAAATTTAGACCACCGATTTTTTCTCTGTCAACCACCTTCATTTTATCTTTTATGTCCCCACCAAACCTCAATCTTTTCTAATCCCAACCCTAAAAAAAATAAAATAAAATAAAATAAAATTTCCCACAACAGTTTTTTTTTTTTTTTTTTTTTTTTTTTTTTTTAAAAAACCCCATTTCCCCCAACAGTTTTTTTTTTTTTTTTTTTTTTTTTCTCTTTTAAAAAACCCAATTTGCACATTTTTCCCATTTCCGAATATAGTCCATTTCAGATAGGAAATCCGAAGCCCCACCAAGCAACTATCAACTTTCACGGCCGGGCCAAGATTTTCTCTGGTTTTTCTCGTTCTTTCTGACTTAACGAACAATCTGCTTCTCTTTTTCTTTCCCCCCTGCTTTCGAGCTGTACGCTGCTTGTATTTGATTGATTCGTCGAGGCAAAAAGCAAATATTAATTGAATATTGGGAGAAAAGCGGAGCCGAAAGATTGTTCTTTTGGGGAAACATGAGTTGCTTAGAGCTTGCTTTTTTTTGATTTTATTCAAAAAATGGCGAAATTTAGCTGAGAGGAAGATATTGCAGGAGAGAGAGAGAGAGAGAGAGAGAGAGAGAGAGAGAGAGAGAGAGATGGTGGTGGTGAGGAAAGTGGGGAAGTATGAGATTGGAAGGACGATTGGTGAAGGAACTTTCGCGAAGGTCAAGTTTGCGCAGAACACCGAGACTGGTGAGAGTGTCGCCATGAAAGTTCTCGATCGCAGCACCATCATCAAGCACAAGATGGTCGACCAGGTATATATATATATATATATATTTGCATTTTTTTTTTAGTTTGAATTTTAGCTGATTGTGGAAATGGAAACAGCAATTTAGCTTTAGCCATTGTTTTTAGCTTTCTAAATTTCAATTAATATAATTAATTTCGCTAAACATTGTCCCCATGTCAGATCTCAATATAGTTAGCTCAACAATAAAAAGAAGAAAAGAAAAGGGACCTCATTGGGAATTATTTGTGCGCGAGAGAATGTTGGTACTTCAATTATGATGTTATGGGTTACTTGCTCTTGTCCCTGGCAGGGACAACCTTGTAGCAAAATCCTTATCATAGGGCCCATCTCGGTTTGATCCTAGGATGATGTCCCTTAAAGATAAGGGAGAAAAAAGATGGTAACTGTTGAGAATTGGATCTGAGCATTCCTAACCCATCGCATAATGGAACCCTGAATAGTGATTTACATATGGGGATTTCTCTAACGCGAATGTGAGATCAAAACTGTGATGAAATAAAATGAAAATGGAAGTTGTTTTGTTGATAGATTAGTCTAGCAATTAGGAAGACGTCCCTGGACTGTAGAAAGTGCCTCTGAGAGATTCTGGGACCCACATGCTCAATGTTCTGTAGTCATTTTTGTATGGTGTAGTTGTTAGCTGGCTTAGCATAATGTCTTCCCTTCATTCAAAAAAAAAAAAAAATCCTTCATTCAAGTTTTAAGTTAAAGATTGAACACTTCATATTCTACTAACAAAGGAATACACCTGAAGTAACACACGATGGCCGTCTCTTGAAATGTAGTATTTTGTCTAGCTATGCCTTGTCCGCCTTTGAGAAGTTGATGGGGAGAAACCTCGTCTAAATTCTTGAGTGGCTTTGTTCACCATCCTTCATATAGGTACTATCAAGAATGTCTTGCCTGGAAGTTACAGATGGGACATCATGTACTGTCAATTTTATTTTTTTTTATTTTTATTTTTTTTTGTAATGCAAATTGAATAGGACGCAGCTTAGCCAATGCATTGGTTATTTAAGTGATCAATGTGTTCACAAGTTTTTCTAGTTAGAGAACCAGATACTTCATGTCAGTCTTAATTTTTGTCTCAACTTGAAGTCTTCTCTAGATTGTATAAATAGATCTTTTAGAATAAAGAAAAAATACAATGACCTGGTTTGAGTCTGAGTAAACTTTTTTGATTTATTTAGACATGCGTTTTTTTGGTGCCAACTATTTTTTATTTTTTATTTTTAATGATTCATTCTTGTCATGCAGATTAAGAGAGAGATATCTATAATGACCCTTGTCCGGCATCCTCATGTTGTGCGTCTATATGAGGCATGGAATCTTTTTTTAAAATGTGTAAATTGTCATCGGGACTTTTTATCGTCATCTTAATAACGAATGATTGTCAACATTTTGCCCTAATAGCCATTGGTGCTCCCTCCTGACCAAATATCCATGTTCTCTGTAGGTTCTGGCAAGCCGAACTAAGATTTATATAATCTTGGAGTTTATTACAGGCGGTGAACTATTTGATAAAATAGTGAGTAATCGAACTTAAGATTCAGCTCCTCCAAACAAGTCATCTTTTTTTGGTAGCCGTTCTGGTTTTTTCTTTAATTACTTAAGAAAATGCCCACGTTAACAACGAGTCACTGAGTATGCAGGTTCATCATGGGCGTCTTAGTGAAGCTGGAGCTAGGAGATATTTCCAACAGCTAATTGATGGTGTGGACTATTGCCATAGTAAGGGGGTTTATCACAGAGACCTAAAGGTGATGCTGAACTGGCATCAAATATGCTCTATTGGATTTCTTTTTCCTCTCAATAAATCCTTACTATCATTTCCTTTCCTCTACAGCCTGAAAATCTTTTACTTGATTCTCAAGGAAATTTAAAGATTTCAGATTTTGGTCTGAGTGCTTTGCCTGAACAAGTATGATTCTTTCATATTTATCTTTTAAATTTTTATGATTATAAAGTACTAAAATTCTTTTGAAGAAGTGCTTTGAGCCAATATTTGATTTCAACTATTTTGGAAAATGAAAAGACTTAAGTTTACTCTGTGACTTTTTTCTACAGGGAGTTAGTCTCCTTCGGACAACCTGTGGTACTCCTAATTATGTGGCACCAGAGGTATACACAAAGGAGCCTTGCTTCTGAAAAAAGACTGTTGTTTACTTTTGTGAATTCATCTGTGTCAATCTTTCCATTTTCTACTCTAGGTACTCAGTCACAAGGGTTATAATGGTGCTGTGGCAGATGTTTGGTCGTGTGGGGTAATCCTTTATGTTCTGATGGCAGGATACCTTCCATTTGATGATCTTGATCTGACCACGCTTTACAGTAAGGCATGAACTAATTCATTAAACGACGACTTTATAATTATTGTGCTTTTGGGTTGCCTTATTGATGATCATTTTGTTTCTGGTGTCTATTATGGCCCTAGAGTTTTTGTTTTGTCATTGCAAGTATTGGATTTAATCCAAGTGATTACTTCTGCAGGTTGCTGCGGCAGATTTTTCCTGCCCATCTTGGTTTCCAGTTGGAGCAAAATCGTTGATTCATAGAATTCTAGACCCAAATCCTGAAACTGTAAGTATGGCTATGCAATAAAACATTTCTTTTGTGTTGTTTTACTTAATTTTGAAAGCATTTGTAGGTCATATATTAGGCGGACACAGAAAAAAGATATTGCTCATATCAGTATGAAAAGACATATTAATTAAATCTGAATATAATGGAGCAAGTAATTCTGTTTTATTTGCTACTTGCCTACATCACGCTGTTTATCTCTGTGTCTGTGCAGCGTATTACCATTCAACAGATCAGAGATGATGACTGGTTTAAGAAGGATTATGTTCCTGTAAAACTATTTCAATATGAAGATGTAAACCTGGATGATGTGAATGCTGTTTTTGATGATCCCGAGGTTGGTAAGGCTTTTCAAGTGCAACATCTCTTCCACATCATTTTAATGCACAACTGACAGCATTTACCAACTTTATCCTTTAGTAGTCGGTCCCAGTAACTGTTTAAGCAAAGAAAAAATTCCAGTACCTGGCACCTACCCTTCACGGCTTTATATCTTTTAGCTTTGATCTCGTCAACGTGATTAATACATCTCGTGATCCATCAATTACTGAATATGCTGTTTCCATAAATTGGATTTTTTCATTATTTAAAATTGATTGTGAACATATGGAACCTAGTTTTGTTGTCGACAATGACTGCTGCATGATGTTGATCTTCCAGTATCTATCTCTCTCTAATAAGATTTACATCGAAAGGATACCCCTATCCATCCTTCCTGTCCAGGATCAAATTGAATGGCTCTCTTTTTCTCAGCTTAAAGTTTTAAAATTGTTTTACCAGGTGACCTGTGTGGTAGCATTTAAAATGCTGCTTACCTTTACAGTTCTTTTCCACCTCCTTCACACGGTTGTTCTTTTCTCACCTCCTTCACGCAGTTGATGTAAAGAGGTCTAGACAACTTTATGGATGAATATGTAGACTAGGTTCTGAATTTTTATATCCATTGTCTCGCCTCAATTCTCATTTAAGTGCATTGAATGAAAATTTTTGTCAAAGGAGGTGGTAGTACCCTCAAGTGCCTTTGTTCAAAGGACTGATGTACGATTCATGTTTTCTTTCTTGACATTTAGATTGTGTGGTTGATATAGGAACAAAGGGCTAATGAGCCATGTGGAAATGAAGACACGGGTCCGCTGATCCTTAATGCGTTTGATTTGATAATTCTATCTCAAGGGTTAAACCTTGCAACACTGTTTGATCGTGGTCAGGTAGGAGTTGTTAGATTCCCTTCATTTATCTTGCTTTGTAATTTAACCACTACATGGTTTGATCATTGATGTAGACGTTCTGATTTTTTTCCCTCCCTGCCAGGATTCTATAAAGTATCAGACGCGTTTTGTTTCGAGGAAGCCAGCAAAGGTTGTTTTATCTAGCATGGAAGTTGTTGCACAATCAATGGGTTTTAAGACACACATTCGCAATTATAAGGTAAAGCTCCCTGATTTTTCTGTAGTGCGATTGATGGTATCTTACTTTTTAAGTTAGAATACTTTTTCTCATTTCTTGTTTCTACTAGTATCATAGTATTGTGGGCTTTTCCTTCGTCTCTCTTAACCTCTCTCTCCATCCCTGCGTATTTATGAGTTTCCAAGTGCACATGCATAGATATGTGATTATGCTTCGTTTGGATCCTCATGAATTTCCCTGGAGAAAGTTATGCCTTGCATTTAACTGATATTCTATTAAATTTTAGATGAGAGTGGAAGGGCTTTCAACAGATAAGAGTTCTCATTTCTCTGTTATGCTGGAAGTAAGCTTCGGACCAGACTCCACTTTACAATAACAAGGAACCACTTAATTTGGTTTATTAATTTTCTGTTTTCAATTTTTTTTTTCTTTGGCTGAAGATATTTGAAGTTGCCCCCACATTTTTTATGGTAGACATTCAGAAAGCAGCTGGAGATGCCAGTGAATATCTCAAGGTTAGTTTCCGAAAATCCTGTTGCTGCAGCTAATCCATTCGTAATCAGCATAATTGTCATATCAGATTTTCACATCTCTGCTTTGGCTTTGGTTTGTCGTCTTTTTTATATGCAAACTGTGAAGATGTCTGATGAATTCAATTTTAATTGTATTGCAGTTTTACAAGAGTTTTTGTAGCAATCTTGACGATATCATCTGGAAACCACCTAATGAATCAAGCAAATCAAGGATCACTAAAACGAGGAGTAAGAGGCGCTGATCTTAGTACTTGGAACATCTCCCATTTTAATTCTTTTAACTAAAAGTAAATGTGTGTTGATACGGCATTGTCCTTAAGGTTACTGTCGACGAGAGAGGTGTGAATTACATTCGGTTTCCCTAACCCGACCTAAAATCTCTGAAACTAGAACAATATATTTATTTATTATTATTATTATTTTTTTGTAAATTTTTATTTCATAGTTGCATCGAATCGTTAATATTATTACACTTTTGAAAAATTGTCGGAGCACACTCCTAACCCGACCTAAAATCTCTGAAACTAGAACAATATATTTATTTATTATTATTTTATTTTTTTGCAAATTTTTATTTTATAGTTGCATCGAATCATTAATATTATTACACTTTCAAAAAATTGTTGGAGCAAACTCCTAACCCGACCTAAAATCTCTTAAACTAGAACAATATATTTATTTATTATTATTATTATCTTTTTTTTGTAAATTTTTATTTCATAGTTACATCGAATCGTAGGCCTCGTTCACTTCGCTGATTCGAGTTTAGAATTTGAGTTGAGATGTGATTTTATGTGAGAATTTTTTACTGTAGCAAAAAAGTTAGATGTGATTGTTTGTGAGAGTTTTTTACTGTAGAAAAACTCGAATTTTAAACTCGAATCAACGAAGTGAACGGAGCCTAATATTATTAGGCTTTCGAAAAATTGTAGGAGCACACTTCACAATTCCTATCAGGTTAAAAGAATGTAATTTTATTCAGATCTCAACTTTGCTAATTGTTTTTTCCCCTCGTAGCTTGCTGCAGTAGTTCCTCCCTTTATGCATTGATGCATGATTGGGATTGGCATTTTTCAAGTTGATTAGTCCCTGTGGCATCGTTGAGAAAAGTTTTGGTTGATGTCTTTTTTTTTATTATTATTTTAACATATTTGATGTCTTTTAAGATACTAAATAGAACGTCGGAGGAAGTGGAAATATAATTATCTATTCATATTTTGGACCAATTGGCACTCACTCTAGTTTTGCTTTTGTTTTTGTTTTTGCTAGTCGCACTCACTCTAGTTTTTGTTAAGGCAGTTTTGTCCTCCAAATTATTTTATTCGGTATTATGGATCATGTATTATTGTTTATTGGTACTTTGTCCTCCAAATTATTTTATCAGACTTTAAGGGTTCTATATTATCGTTTATTTGCGTTCTTTCCGATTCAGAAGTTGATTAAAATAATCAACTGCTTGGACAGTTCAGCTTTTAAAATGAAAGAAGTCAGTGTTGATGTAGCCTTGCCCAGTTCCAATCGCTCAGCTATCTCAAGAACGGTCGCTTTTTTCAGTTCAATTAAACGACCTTAATTTTTATGGTGGCAATTTAGGTAATGAAATACGACAATACGATTCAAAATCAGTACAAAATTAATGGGTTTGAATTTACTATAAATGGATTTGTGTCATAATCAGATTGATATGCTTAATAAACAGGTTGAATTAGAGTTGTCTTTCTGACACGAATCGACACAATTAACTATATATGTCGTAAATTAATTATATTTGTAAATTAATTATATGTGATATAATATAAAAGTTTAAATGATGTATTAAATAGAAATAGTATGTATTTCAAAATTTTTAGATAAATTTTACTTGTTTATCTTAAAAGAACAGACAAATTGACTAATAAAACTGCTAAACATGTCATAACCGAGTTAAATAAATCATAATTATATCAAGTATTTATTTAATATATTGATTTAAATGGGTTATGGGGGTTGGCACGATTAATACGATTAATAAGTTGGTCGTGTTTAGGTTGACAGTTTTGACAAGTTTAATAAATGGATCGTGTTTGAGTTGATATTTTTTGACACGATTAATAAACGGATTGAACACGAACACGACCCATTAATATGAATTGTCACCCATACTTAATTTGAGAAACTTTTTTAAACGAGGAAGAAATTGCAAATAAACCATAAAATAAAGTCTTAGTGCTTAACAAAATAATTTGAGAGGTAAAGTGCAAATTAACTAATAAAATAATAATTCAGTGAGCAAAGTGCTAGAAGGGGTTAAATTTTAGGGGACATTAGAGCCAAATAGTTTATATTTGGAAAATTTACATGTTTTTAGGCCTTATCACAAAATGCTCTAAACTTTTTAACTTTTTTTCCCCTCGAACTCCAATAACTCTCGTAAAGTTTCCCTCTCAACTAAATTTTTAGCAGAAAATGTCATGTGAAATGCAAAAACTAACAAAAAAAAAACACTTTATGTTAAGATTTTTCACAGAAATAACACGTATCACATAAATAAAGAGTATTGTTGAACCATTTTTAGTACATAATTACTCTATTAGCTCCTCCTTATTTAGTTAAACCGAAGTACAATTACGCAATAAGAGTTATTATTTTTTACTATACCAACTTTTTTTTAATTTAATTGACCTAAAGAATCTTAGAGGTTCATCAATGACGGTCAACAACAATAATAAAAGTAAGAATTTAACAAAGGGTAAAAATTTGTAAAAGTTGTTGAAGTTTGGAGAGAAAAAAACTAAAATTAAAATTTATTAGACATTTTGTAACCGCGCTTATAGTTTAGGAGGAAAACATGTAATTTATCCTTTATATTTTGTCAGAGGAAGAGAGAGAAGAACGTTCAATTATAGCAGGTGCTAAATTTGGATTGAGATTGATTGACCAGAAGAAGAAAAGGATGATAAAAGAAGCATGTGTTGTAAATTGTAGTCAAAGTATCTTTATTCACTCTGACACAAGGAAAAGTCCACTAAGAATCCTACCATTGTCAAAACAGCATCCCTATAAAATCATTTATCCAAAGAGATATGCTTTATTTTTCTGAATCTAGTACAAGCGTAATCCAAAAAAGATTATGAGAAACTAACCGTTGCTGACGAGGGAAATTCCTGCCAAATAGGTGAATACTGTTTACTCAGAACTTTCTTATGAATATGAGAAAATGTATTCATTGTGAACTGCGAGTGTGAAACTTTCCATCGGCCCAACATGATGAAGGAGAAAGTAGCATATTATTTTGAGGATATCTAAACAATTGACAAATTAAAGAATGTTAAGATTTTTACTTGTTTACATGACCTATTATATATCATATAAGAATTCCAAAATCCCCACAAGAACATTTTCCATTGACAATTTTGTGCAGACGCTTGCTATCTCGAATGGTTATCTCCCTAGCTGTCAATAAGGAAATAGACTTCATAAAATTATGGCAATCCCTGCACATAATGAAGTTCTTGATCACTCTTATTGGTGCAGAGCTCGGCATGTTCAATAATCCGAAAGCAATGGCCAACTTTTCACTGTGATAAGTGGTGGAAGAGGATGACTCTACTTCATCTTCATCTGTCATCTCCAGATCTTCGAGCTTTTCATATCCCGCACCCTTTGCTTGGTCAATCAAGCTTTCCAAAAATGTGTGCAAATCTGCATTTTGATGGTGGAGTTTATCATTAGGTTTGAATGAATAAACCTTGTCTTGGATGCTTATCCAGCTCCAATCTTTTAGTTTCCCAAGCTTCTCCTCTTTCATCATTTTTCTCACCCTAGAAACATCCTTCCACCTTCCCGCTGAGAGGTACATGTTCAGCAGCAAGACATAAGTCTCGGCATCTTTCGGTTTAAGCTTCAGTAACTGTTCGGCAGCATAAAATCCCAATTCTAGATTTCCATGGCTTCTACACCCTGCAACCAGGTTTGACCATATGAACTCACTGGGTTCAAAATCCATTGTTTTGATGAGATCGAAAGCTTCATCTAAACGGCCCAATCTCACAAACATGTCGATTAGGCAACTGTAATGGTCCATCACAGGCCTAATTCTGTATTCCTTTTGCATCATCTCGAAGTATATTAGTGCTTCATCAACCATTCCGGCATGGCTACAAGCCGATAGAATGCCAACAAAGGTGATCTGGTTTGGTCTTACTCCTGCTAATCTCATATCTTCAAAGAGATGCAAAGCTTGTTGTGTCATGCCATGCTGTGCAAAACTTGTGATCATTGAGGTCCATGATATCAGAGTTCTTGTGGACATCTCCACGAAAGCTTTACTCGCTTTCTCTATGCTCCCACATTTGTTATACATATTAATAAGTGCAGTTCCAACAACCACATCGGAGAGAAACCCCATTTTAATGGTCTGCGCATGGATTTGTTCCCCTTGTTCTAAGGCAACCAAACTACTACACACGGTTAAAATACTCGAGAAGGTGAACAGATCAGATTTCATGCCTGAGCGGTTCAATTTCGAGAAAATGTAAAGCGCCTCGTTCCCACTTTGATATGCTGAAAGACCATCTCCTTCAAGCTCCATCATCTGGGCATGACCAGCAATCATTGCATTCCATGTGACCAAGCTGTTCACTTCCATTCCATCAAACAGTTTTTTTGCCTCTTTAACCCTACCAGTTTTGAGGTACAAATACATGATAGCATTTCTCACCCGCAAATTCGAGTAGAACCCAAGTTTGATGCTTAATGAGTGAACCTGGCTACCTACACTCAAATACGCCATCACACAACACAAACTCAACACACTAGTTAAAGTAAACTCATTAGGCTCAATGCCCTTAGAGAGCATGTCAATAAAGAATCCCAAACCCCGTGCAGCCTCACTATTATTGCCACAAGCAGATATAACCGCAGTCCATGAGATCACATTCTTTTCCCTTATCTTCTCAAATGCTTTTACGGCCAAATCCAAGTGCCCAAGTTTGGAGTACAAGCTACAAAGGGAGTTACCAATACTCGTGTCAAAGTCGATGTGGTACTTGACAATGTAACTGTGGAGTTGTTTGCCCACGTCGACCAACTGCAATGAAGAACAAGCATTCAAAACAATCCCAAGAGTATAATTTGCGGGATAAGCCCCAGCCTCCAACATCTCTTGAAAAACTCGGATAGCAAGTTCAGGCTGCGAATTGTGAACATAACCCGTCATCAGTGTTGTCCACGCAACGACATTTCTCCTCGGTAAATTATCAAACACCTTTCGTGCATATTCCATGACCCCACATTTCACGTAAACATTGACGAGAAAAGTCGAAACAAAGGAATCTTCATGAAACCCGGTTTTTATGATGTGGGCATGCACAGTTTCTGCCGTTGAAGACGAATTATCATCGATGCACCGTTTCAAGAGACGGGCGTAGTGAGAAGATTCTGTCGAAGCGCCTTCTCTCATCGCAGAAAGCGCTTCTCGGAAGTCCGTGGAGGATGATAACTCTGAGGTTCCCTCCAAATGGGTGATCGAGCCGCTTCTCTGATACGACACACTTGGGCTCTGAGATGAAACTAGATGTAAGCTTCAGAGAACATAAGACAAGTTCTTGACGTAAAGAAACATTGCCAGAGATGAAATTCAAAAGTTTGCTTTAAGTTTTGTTTTGAAATTATATATATATATATATAGAGAGAGAGAGAGAGAGAGAGAGAGAGAGAGAGAGAGAGACAGACAGACAGAGACGGAGACAGAGTACCTTTTCGTTGGAAAGGAAAACAGAGGGGTGCTTTCTGAGGTCGGAGTCGAGCTTGGGAGTGCATTTGACTGCGACGGAAGGCAGAGAAGAAGCCATGGACGAACTCCAGTCAAGGAGTCGTTTATCCTACTCTATCCATATGTTTTTGCCAAAATTTGTGGAGACAAACTAATACTTTCTTATTTATTTATTTCCATTTTTTTTTTTGTAAAGTGTTTTCTTTTAAGTTTAGCCCATAAAGTATTCTCTCTCTCTCTCTCTCTCTTTTTTCGAAAATAAAAAAGTACTCTCTTTTAAAGTTTAGCCCATAAAAGACACTGTGTAACATCTGGTTAAATTAATTATGATTAATTAATTAAATTTAGTAATTAGTATTAATTAATTTAAAATTAATGAAAAATTTTCAGTTATAATTATTATGTAAACGATCATTTTTCTTTAAAAATAATTTTTTTAAAATTGATATTGTTGTCCCTCGAACAGTTTTAAGTGTCGGTAGCAAATTTTTTAGAATAAGAATAATGGATCATTCCATACTCTATTTAAATTGAATTTTGAAATCTAATTATCAAATTTATACAGAAAGCCCAATCCTATTTTCTTTTCTTTTTTTTTTTCCCTTTTATTTCTTCTTTCTTCTTTTTCTCTCATCTCTCCCTCCCACGTACACACACACACTCTCTCTCCACGCCGGCCACCTACCACTGATGAGATTCTGGTCTCGTTTCGCGACACCGCCCACACCATCGGAAAGCTCTCGACGAGCTGGACTCGTTGACATGCCACACAACCTCCATCTCCGCCGGAAACAGTCGTAATCGCCGGCGAAATGTCTGAAAACTACTAGAACTTCTTGCCATCATAACTCTGTCGTCCGACCTCCGATTGGAGTGATTCCGGTCCCTATGGACTCAGCTCAACGAGACGAACAAAACCCATGCCGTGTCACCCGTCGATTCTTGCTAGACAGTTGTCTCAGGAGCCGCCCATTTCAGCCGCCGCACCTCCTCTTCATTATGCACTATTTCCGGCCTCTGTTTTTGACACCGCTGGTGCCATTGGACTCAGAGGATGACCTAGAACAAGAAGCAACCCTTAGCCGCCCAAATCCGCCGCCGTTTGCCAAAGATCCGAGCTCACCGCCGTTTGGGTGGAGGGTGGTTCCGATGATCCAACCATTGGATCGTCATGATTTTGGTGTCAAAACACTCAGAAGGAAGTGGGTATCAAAAGCCTTCAGCCTGTTTTGAGGTTCCATTGCCAGAGAATTGAGAACCAAGTCACCAGATTTTGTCAACCTTTTTGGGTTTGTCAGAGTAGATGGAGGGTGAATTTGGTAAAATTGACTGCACCATTGAACTTAGAATGGTCGATTTAGAGGGGGTATGACCCAAGTCCGCCGTGAAAATGTGCTCCGGCAACCCCGCCGCCGGTGGCCGAATTCCGGTGAGTCTTAATTCTTGAGGTTCTTGACGTCCGATCAAATATCTGAGACCATATCCTAACTCGTTTCGACGTGCTGAATGCAACGGTGACCACCGTTTGTGCCAATTTGACTCCGTTGAAAAGTCTATCGAACTGTGCACATAGATCGAGGCGAATCGAGTTGAGGTTTAGAGCAAGCCGCGGAGCTTCAAGAATAGACAGTTGGACAACGTGAAGTTATCCGTAGATTAAATTGTCAAGAGGTAGGATATTTTTGTCCATATCCTTGTTAGCCTTACTTTAAATGATTTTGGCCCATGAAAATGTTTTAGAACAAAACATGTTGAAAGAAAATGATTTTAAAGGAAATAGCATGAATAATGCTATTAAGTTTTCCAATGATTTTAGAAATGAGATTTTAAAGAGTATCATTTCTTAAAATAAAATATTTTAAGAAATGATATAACGCATGGTAGCCTCAGAGATCGGGATATGGGAATCGTATCTATGGGGGTAGGACCCGAAACCCATACGGATCCACTTCTTGCTCAGTGGTGTTATGGCACTACATATTTTAATTATACATATATTTTTTCTACTACTAGGTGAGTATTTCCTTTATCTAAAAATGATGATTGGTTCTGGGTGTATGTCTTCGGACTATGAGTACCTTTATTTACAATATTTTATAAAATTGTATGATCGGTTCCGGGTGTATGTCTTCGGACCGTGAGTACCTTTATTTACAATGTTTTATAAAATTTTATGATCGGTTCTGAGTGTATCTCTTTAGATCGTGAGTACTTTTATTTATAATGTTTTATAAAATTATATCCTACTGGGCATTCTACTCATTTTTCTTCTGTTTTCAATATTTTAAACCCTCCCTCCAGAGTTAGCGGTTTAGATTTACAGCATGGTGAGTGGATGCTAATAGATTGAAGGTGCGAGATTCGAAGTGGTGAGTTTGTTTCGGATTTACAGTTTTAATTCTGAGATGTACTGTATTTCTATATATAAACTGTATTGGCCGACATTGTCCCAGAGTTGTACTATTTTTCTTGGACTTTATGGACTGTTTTAAATATTATTTGTAAAAGAAAGTCTCTGTAGCAAACTATATTGATATTTATGTATTTATTTTTGTGATTTTTGTTAAACAGTTCAGTTTAATTAAGTTAAATTTTAAATTAAACCCCAATAATCACGGCCCTATCCTCAGAGTCATGACAGGCATATATAGTACTTCTCTTTTCTTTTTTAAATCTACATATAAGAAGTCAAAATTGTTGTTTCAAGTGTAAAAATTGTTTGTTAATAGTCTGATTATAATAGTCCGCATTAAAATCTACAACAACGACACACAAAATCGTTCTTACTCGAAGACGGTTAAAAAACTATAGTAAAATTTTGATAAATAAATGTTTGATAAATTAATAACTTTAATTAAATAATAAAATCTTCTAGTATCGATTTAGTCCAATGTATTAAATAAATAATCTCGCGGTAACAATTTTTTTAATCATTTAAGGCTCAACGAAAATATAAATTAATAATTAATAAAATATTAAAAAAAATCAATAACACATAAAATTCATCATATTAAAAGGTTTTTTTTTCTAGGTGTTAATTTTGAAAAATATGTACATCAATTTTATGTCTATGTATTTACTTATTAACATTTTTTGTACAATATATGTACATTAATTTTTAGAGCTCTATGAACATATATATGCCACTTATTATAAACGTGATAACTTTTGAAATTTCATATATGAACATATTAATTTTGACAACATCTACTATTTATTTTTTATTTATAATTCATACATGAATATTGACTAAAAGAATAATACATGACCAAAATAGCACGAGTTATTAAAATATAAAACTGTTTTTAAATTAATAATATTTATTTACTAATAATTTTAAATTATTTATTTATTGATAAATAATTAATCTCGATATTATATGATATTTTTTAATCGTAACAATATTATTTTATAGAGATTTTACTGTAATTCAATTGTTAAAATAATAGCTTCACAAGAGCATCGAACAACCAACTTGACTTAAAGATAATTGAAATTACTCTTACCTCCTCTTATTGAAAATGGAAAGTGTTGATTTTTTTTTAATCGAAGAAAAGTGTTGATTTGGTGTTAGAAAAATAACGGAATTAGAAATCACTAAGTATTAATTAATTTCTTTTTTTTTCTTTTTGAAGAAAAAAATATTTTCATGACTACTATATTCTTCTTTTTGTCTTTTATAATTTATCTACTCTTTTTCTAAACACTTCTATTTCTCCCGACTTATCAGAGTTAGTAAGATCAGGACATTATTTTACTAAAATATTAAAATTAAACAATTTAAATACTCTTACATTTCATAAACATCACTACACGTCAAATTCCTATTAATACGTCTCACACCTTTTTCTGTTTGTTGCAAGGGTATTTTAGTAAATCCAACTAACACTTGTACTTTTAATTGAAAATATTATCAATTCAAATAGAGTTTGTCATAAGGTTTGAGAATGTCTATCTTAGGCCAAGGATGTTGGTCTAAATCATTAAAAAAAAAAGGGACGGTCAAGTTTTTTTGGAGTGTGACTTGAGTGTAATTTTTGAGTTAAATTTGAGTTATAACTTGAGTTACAGTTGTAACTTGAGTTTGTGTTTGGTTGTGTACATTTGAGTTATAGTTTGAGATAAGAATCTTTTTTTGAGTTTGTGTTTGAGTGAGTTAAAACTTAAATTTGTATTTAGATAGTATTTTAATAAAAACTCAATAGTGATGAAAAATTTTAATAGGGTATATGAGTGAGGTTTTATTCATCTTTTTGTTGTCAATGTATAGAAAAAAATAATCTCAATCAGGATTAAAACAGTTATAGCATTTTTAAGAATAAAAAAAATATTGTTCATTAATTTGAGTTCGAGTTTCTGAACTCGAGTTGAAAGGGACACTTGAACTCGAGTTTTAGTCACAAACTCAAGCTCAAACTCCAGTTCAAATTCGAGTTCAAACTTAAAAGAGCATGAACTCGAATAAAGTTAAAACTCGAGTTATTTTTTTTTTTTGGTTTTTTGGACAGCCGAACACGAAGTTAAAATGCATCAACAATTGTTCAATTTTCGAATAATAATTCGATTATTCTCGGTGAATTTGGTCAATTATAGCTAGATCTATTTAGTTTGTAATCTTTCTTTCCTGATATTAGATTTTGTTATGCTTTTAGTTTGTTCTAGTCTCATTTTAGAGGATGAACTGATCTTGTTGGAGGAAATCTCCTCTCTTATTGAATCAGTTATTATTGGGTTGCTTGAAAATTATACTGTTATAATATTTTTTTATTTTAAAAGGAGTTTAAATTTTAAAATTTTTTCTCTCATAAATTTACCATCATTGAACTCAAATTATAATTTGAGTATAATTTCCGAAAAAGATACCTCACATTTACGTTCAATAACAGTTCTCTTTTCTTCTTAAAAAAAAAAAAAAAACTCGGACATTAGCGCCAATTATCCTTAAATATTTAGGTTACTTGGGAGAAAACGACACTATTTTTCGTGTCGTAACCTGGAAGTCCGTGGCCCGGAGTCCGTGACGTCGAATTCGATGCGGCAACCAAAACAGCGCGCCTTTCGAAAAGCAGAACGCCAGGGCCCACAAATACAATTTTATGTTTTTCTTGCAAATCTGAGCTTTGCCACCACCAACCCCCGCACTCACCCACTCACAATTCGCAAAATACCCCGTCGCTTTCTCTCTCTCTCTCTGCCATTTCCAAAACCAAAATACAAAGCAAACTCTGAGGGGGAGAGAGTTACGAAAATGTCTATGGCTCTTCGCAGGCTATCGAGCTCCTTCAACAAACCGCTCAAGCCTTTCGTAAATGGCGGTTCCATCTACCACTTGGTACTCTTCTTGATCTTCCACTATATCATTCTTTCCCCCCCTCTAAATAGCTTGATTTTTACGTGCCGTGATCGCTTTTTGACGATTCGGACCATTCCTTTTGATCGCAGTCTTCTCTGCCCAGCCAAGCAGCGACGGAGGAGAAGGAAAAAGCTCGTGCCACTGTACGGCGCCTCTTTCCATCACCTTTTTTCTATGCATATTAGTGGAATTTATATACAATATTTGTATATGTGCGTGTTGTTCGAGTGAAGGCGTTATTGATAGGATTGAAGCGGATATGAATTTTATGTTTGTTCTGTTTTTGATAGAAAGATCTGGATTTTATGTTATGTGTTCCTGGAAATGATGCTGATATATATATATATATATATTTATCTATGTATATATGTTTTCTTTTTTTTTTCTTTTTTTCAATTTTAGTGGGTAAAGCAACTGAATGATCCGTTGGAGGTTATCGATCCCGAAATCGCCAATATCATTGAACTCGAGAAAGCTCGGCAATGGAAGGTATGTATGTAATAAGAAAGATTGTCATTTTGCTCTTTTCTGTAATGCTTTGTGATCTGTGATTGTTGAAATTTTATTTTAGAATAATGCGTTGTTAATAAGCTTTCTTCTTGTGTATAATTTGGGATTCAATTCTCTCACTCCTACTGATGCGGTGGTGTTGTTTAGGGGTTTGAACTTATACCTTCAGAAAATTTCACATCGCTGTCAGTGATGCAAGCAGTTGGATCCGTCATGACCAACAAATACAGCGAAGGATATCCTGGTGCAAGATACTATGGAGGAAATGAGTACGTTGATCCATTCGCAATATGAGTGCTTTTTATCTCTCTATCTATATATATACAAATATTTATTTATTTATTTTTCTTATTCTCCCTTACATAGTTTATCTCAACTATCTGCGGGAGTCTGATGCTGTTCTTGTTGTTTTTGTTTGGTGGGGATGTTGAAGCTTTTTTCCAATTTCGTTAGTGTAAGGGTGATATTAATGATTAGAAGAATGAGTGACTGCTTCTGTCTGTGTGTAGTATGCATTTAGTGGGACAGACAATGCGAATTTCAGTAAAACCATTCCCCCGTTGTTTTACTTTATCCTCTTTTCTCTCTCTGTTTTATTTTTTATTTTATTTTTTTATTATTATTATTATTATTATTATTTTTTAAGCTTTACGCCATGTTTTTGAGGTTTTCTAAATCGCACTCCACCCCACGCAACCCTTTTTTTTTTTTTTTTTTCTCTCTGCAGGTATATCGACATGGCTGAAACCTTGTGTCAGAAGCGTGCATTAGAGACTTTTAATTTAGATCCTGCGAAGTGGGGAGGTATTTGTATTGACCTTATGATTATATCAAAACTTTGAGAAATGTGGTGCTAGATTCTGTGTAACAGCCGTGAATTTCTGTACTTCTATCGGGAGTCTTTTGCTGATGTTTGCCAACGTTTTACAAGTTTGAAGGAGTTTTTATTTATTTATTTTAATATAGTCGTTGAGTCATTCTTCTATCAAGCGCTTATCACAAGAAGCGAGCTTGTTTTTAAAGTTTTCTTTTGCTAAAAGAGCATTATTTTAAAGTTGCTTAATTGAAAATGGGGATATAATTTGTTTCTTGCAGTAAATGTGCAGTCACTATCTGGATCCCCTTCCAACTTCCAAGTCTACACTGCCTTGTTGAAACCTCATGAAAGAATCATGGCCCTTGACTTACCTCATGGTGGGCATCTTTCACATGGTTATCAGGTGCCTAGAACTTCACTTTTAACTTCTACACATAGATGATTTTTTTCCTTGAGCTCTTTGTATGTTTAGCTAATGAAGGATTTAACTCTCTTGCCTCGTCTCTCAACATTGAAGAAAGTTTCAATTGCAAATTCATGGTTTGCAATAACACCAAACGGCTTTATCATTTACTGATTTTCAATTTAATGTCGACAAAATTATTCCATTTTTTTTTAAATATTTTGTAGAAAACTTTGACGAAACCAGATTTTACCAAGAGCCCTATAGTTATTGGATTGTTTTAACTGGACTGGATTGAACTCTTTAATGGCATTTGATGGGCGCTCGCAAAACCAGGGATTCTCTTTTATGCATACACGTGAAGAATGTACTTTCTTTTCCAATAATATTTTTGTGGGCATTAGGGAGTGATTCAGAATTTGCAACTGCCAAAGCATTTGAATTGAATTTCTTGGTGCGGTTCAGGAGGCTTCTTAAATTTCATATTGTATGCAAGAAAATGCTGCTCGTTTGTATAGCTTATGATATGGTATAGAGTCTAATGCTTTTCCATTATGCAGACAGACACCAAGAAAATATCTGCCGTCTCTATATTCTTTGAGACAATGCCATACAGATTAAATGAAAGCACCGGTTATATTGACTATGACCAGGTACCTTGTCATATTATTTCTCTTGGAAATTCTCAATATTGACCAAGTTCACTGTTGTCAAACGAGGACAGATATGCCATAATTATACCTAAGACTTAATTAATTGGGTTTATTTTGAAAAATAAGATTGCATACAGTGAGATGTTTTTTACATTTTACAAATAATATTTGTAGAACTGGTGAAGAATTATATTAACGAGTGTAAGTTGTAGCAACTTACTAATAGTGTTATTGTTTTTAATGTTGGCAACAGTCAACTCTACTTTTCCATTGTAAAGAATTTTCTGGTTGAAGCAAAAAAACTAAATCTGCATATAGAGCACTTATGGCGTCTTGTTAAACGTTAATGTATGACATTGGTTATTATCATTCTTCATTTGTGTTTCAATTTTTCTTTTATCTTCCAATTTAACTTTTATTTACAAAAATTGTACAGTTGGAGAAAAGTGCTGCACTTTTCAGGCCAAAACTAATTGTTGCTGGTGCAAGTGCCTATGCACGCCTTTATGACTATGCCCATATTCGAAAGGTAAACTTTGGCTTGATGATGTATCTGTGACATTCATTTTAAGAAGCAGTGTGTACTGAATAGTTTGAATTACAAAGGCCTTAGTTAATTTGGCAATGGTCTTGGCAGGTCTGTGATAAGCAGAAAGCTGTCATGCTTGCTGATATTGCACACATTAGTGGATTGGTTGCTGCAGGTGTTATCCCTTCTCCTTTTGAGTATGCAGATGTCGTTACAACCACAACACATAAGTCACTTCGTGGCCCTCGTGGGGCTATGATCTTCTACAGGAAGGGGGTCAAAGAGATAAACAAGAAAGGGGAAGAAGTAAGTCTTGATTTTCTTTTGATAAGTAAATGAGACGAGGATTTGGAAGTGGGAATTTGGAACGAATTGCATCTTCTTGTCTTCTCGTTGCATGCTACTAGTTCTATGCTACTTCTTTCCCTCTTTCGGTTTGCTTTGTGTTGGTACTAAATTATCTAGAACAGAAATTGTATAGTGATTGAATTGTGCCGTAACAGGTTTTATATGACTATGAAGACAAAATCAATCAGGCTGTCTTTCCTGGCCTTCAAGGTGGTCCACACAATCACACGATAGCTGGTTTAGCAGTTGCACTAAAGCAGGTTTTTTACTTGAGCCTAGCCAAAAGAATTTTTCATTACATCTTAATCCTTTTATGATATTTCTTCTTTCTTTAAATTAAGAAAATAAAAATTAAAAAAATAAAGAAGAAGAAGAAGAAGAAGAATAAAGCTAATGGCCTGTTATTCTTCTATATTGTGATTGTAGGTTATGACTCCAGAGTTCAAAGCTTATCAAGAGCAGGTTCTTAAGAATTGCGCAAAATTTGCACAGGCATGAGTACTTTCTCGATCATATTTTGCAAATTCTTCTAGTTGGTCTTATTGCAAATTGATAGAACCCTGCCAGACCTCCTTTGAGATTTACCTATACTAGAAGGGGTAAAAAGGGAAAGACAAGTGACGTGGTCAGGGCTAGTGACGCTGTTGAGTTGGCAATTCCGTTAGAGGAGTTTGTTAGAGAGGAAATATAGGGGAGGGGAGGTGCGCTAGGGAGGGCATCGAATCCTGTGAAAAGTTAGTGTTGGTCTGGGAGGGGGAGAGACCTCGAATTCTCTCAATTCTATCTTTCTTTCCCTTTGGTGTTTGTTTTTTGTCGAACTTCTCTGTAATTGCGGAATAGAGGAGTGTTCATCAATAAAAGGAACCAGAACCCATCTTTCTGGGTATTTTCATTCAAATTCCTAGTGTTAATTTTCATTATCTTGATTAAGGCAGGGCAGGTACCTATTAGTTGGTATTAGAGCATCGGTCCATGGCCAACCTTCTAACTGAGTTACATCTGGAACGGGCGGTGGACGTGGAGCGACATTTGGGAGATCTCCAGGAAACGGTGCGACTCCTCGGAGCTATGACAGATCCGGTTCCTAGGCTGCAAGAGGACGTGACAATCCTTGCCGAACGAGTAGAGCGGGTGCAAGATGTGATGGCGCGCATGGAAGCTCTCCTAGGATGTCACTTTGGAGGAGAACGTGAGCCAGTTCCACGATGAGGAGAGTTCCACCGGAATTGCAAGGGGTGTTAGACCGGTTTGGGGATGTCTTTTCGACCCCAATGGGATTGCCACCGCCCCGCGATTCGGATCATCGGATTGTTTTGACGGAAGGCGCCACACCACCGAGCATTCGGCCGTACCGGTACCCCTATGTCCAAAAGGAAGAGATTGAGCGATTAGTAGCGGAAATATGCTGGCTTCAGGAATAATTAGGCCTAGTACTAGTCCATTCTCTAGCCTGGTGATTTTGGTAAAAAAGAGGGATGGAAGTTGGAGGTTTTGTGTAGATTATCGGGCCCTCAATCAACTCACGGTACCCGACAAGTTCCCAATCCCAATAATCGATGAATTATTAGACGAATTGGATGGGGCAGTAATGTTCTCGAAGCTGGATTTACGGGCCGGGTACCATCAGATCAGAGTTCGTGAAGGTGACATCGAGAAGACCACGCTCCGCACCCATGAGTGGCACTATGAGTTTCTAGTAATACCCTTCGGACTGAGAAATGCACCGGCAATATTCCAATCCTTGATGAATTCGGTGTTTCGGCCTTACTTGCCAAGTTTGTGTTGGTCTTTTTCGATGATATCCTCGTCTACAGCCGCACTTGGGAGGAGCACAAGATTCATTTGGCCACAGTGAGGGGGGTTTTGCACGCAGAAATTGTTCGCGAATTGGAAGAAATGTGTGTTTGGGCAATCCCACCCATGAGGGGCACTATGAGTTTCTAGTAATGCCCTTCGGACTGAGAAATGCACCGGCAATATTCCAATCCTTGATGAATTCGGTGTTTCGGCCTTACTTGCCAAGTTTGTGTTGGTCTTTTTGGATGATATCCTCGTCTACAGCCGCACTTGGGAGGAGCACAAGATTCATTTGGCCACAGTGATGGGGGTTTTGCACGCAGAAATTGTTCGCGAATCGGAAGAAATGTGTGTTTGGGCAATCCCAGCTTGAGTACTTGGGGCATGTAATATCGAAGGAGGGGGTTGCGGCCGACCCAATTAAGTTGCAGGCCGTCCGGGATTGGCCTGAGCCTAAAAACGTTCGCGTTGTCCGTGGGTTTCTCGGCCTCACGGGGTACTAGCGTCGCTTGGTAAGAGGTTATGGAGCTCTTGCCCGACCCTTAACGGATTTGCTTAAAAAGGGGGTGTTCACTTGGTCGGAGGCAGCCTCGCGCGCCTTCGAGGCTTTGAAGTTAGCCATGACCTGTTAGGTCTCCTCCCATTAAGTTTGTGTATGCTAGAAAGAGGAAGAACGACAAGCAAGGGCAGCCTAGTAATTGTGGTGAGAATTAATCTTGGGATGGCAATTCGGTTAGGATTTTGTGTCTCGGGATTAGGAAAGGGGGAGGGGAATATGTTACGGTTAGAAGAGAGGCTGGCCAGGGAAACATGGCATAAATAGCCTGAGGATTAGTGTAGAAAGTATTGAGTATTTTGAGTTGTAATAGAAACTGTCTTGGAGGCTAGAGGGTCCTCGAATTCTCCTCACTATCTGTCATTTCCTTTCATGTAATTTTCTTTCGTTCATTCCAATTAATGAGAAAGTTTGTCTAAGAGGCATTTCCTTCTTCCCAATCTCATTTTTTATTACTTACTCAGCTAGATCTAACGGTAGGAGTCCTAGGATCCTAACAATTTGGTATCAGGGCCTTACGATCCATGGCGAACCAGCAAGATCGTTTGGGACAAATGGAGAGGAGGCTGAACAGCTTCCAGGATACGTTGCAGACATTCGAAACCTTGGTGGATCCGGTGCCAAAATTGCAGGAAGACGTGGCGACAGTGGGAGTGCGGCTCAGCGAGGTGCAGGGGGTGGTCGCTACGACGGAAGTCAAGGTGGACGGAATTCAAGGCGCGATCCACCGACTCGAGGAGCTCATGATCAGACAAGCTCGGCCCCAACGCTCCCCCCCAAGAAGGCTCAGGGAAGATTACTCACCTCCTGGTGGTAACCGGGATGACCAGACTCCACCCCGACGCGAACCGGGCCGTCCGGTGCGTGCAGATCCAAGTCCTCCTCGCAGAAACCCGGCGAGAGGAAGGGACGGTCATCACCGCTACCGGTCTCCAGAGAGACCCCGCACGTGAACCGAGCATCGTGGTAAGAAACTTGAACTTCCTCTATTTCATGGAGATGATCCTCACGGGTGGATCTTCCGTGCTGAACGGTATTTCACCATCAACGACATCGACGAAGGAGAGAAGGTGATGGCGGCGTCGGTCTGCATGGAGGGAAGGGCTTTGGGTTGGTATCAATGGCTGGACGCTCAAGAGCCATTCAGGGGCTGGGGAGACCTCAGGGAAGCGATCCTCCACCGTTTCAGCCGCTCGAGGGAGGGGGACCCAACCGAGAGGATGATGGCTCTCCGGCAAGGGGGGACGGTGACAGACTTCCGAGAAGAGTTTGAGTCATTGGCGGCCACGATGAGAGGCATACCCGAGAGTGTCTTCAGAGGCGCCTTTCTGAACGGACTGAGGGAGGATATATGGGCGGCGCTCAAGATGCACAGGCCCATGAACTTGAACGAGGCCATGGATCTGGCCCAACAAGCTGAAGACCGTTTGGATGCGGTGGATCGGATCCGCAAATCATGGGCAGGTCGAAATAACTGGGTAGAGTGGGGCGGCAGATTCGGGTTTAGTAACCCAAACCCGACTCCACCACTTAATGTTACCACAGATAAAAACGAGAACTTCCTTCGATCCCAAACTCCTAGAGACCTAGGGCTCCCGAATCGGAATCGTGAGACACCACCTGCTCCGGGGTCGGCGATGGGAGGTGGCTCCAATTATAGGCGGCTATCGTACGACGAGGTCTAGCAGCGGTGAGCTCGCGGGTTATGTTTCAAATGCGACGAAAAATTCAACCCCGGCCACAGGTGTAGGAATCGGCAATTGCAAGTTCTTCTGGCAGTGGGGGAGGACGAAGCTAGTGAAGAAGAAGGCCAAGAGAACACGGAAGAGCAGACCCAAGCCATCGGAGATTTGCCGGAGGAGGTTTTAGGGCTCTCCCTTAACTCCCTCAAAGGTATGGCAACGGCAAAGACCATGAAACTCAAGGGGACTTTGGGGGAACGAGAGGTGATACTCTTGATCGATAGTGGGGCTTCCCACAGTTTCATATCCGCTGATCTGGTGACCCGTTTGGCCATTCCCACGGATCTGTCCGCTCGACACAAGATAGAGGTAGGAAATGGGATGAGCTTCCGGCAGAGCGGCGTATGCCGAGGGGTCCAGGTTCTCGTACAGGGACACTTGGTTATCGAAGACTTTTTTCCTTTTGCAAAGACCATGAAACTCAAGGGGACTTTGGGGGAACGAGAGGTGATACTCTTGATCGATAGTGGGGCTTCCCACAGTTTCATATCCGCTGATCTGGTGACCCGTTTGGCCATTCCCACGGATCTGTCCGCTCGACACAAGATAGAGGTAGGAAATGGGATGAGCTTCCGGCAGAGCGGCGTATGCCGAGGGGTCCAGGTTCTCGTACAGGGACACTTGGTTATCGAAGACTTTTTTCCTTTTGAACTGGGCAGTGCAGATTTGGTGTTGGGCATTTCTTGGTTAAGAACCTTAGGGGAAGTCCGGGCGGACTGGGATAAATTTACCATGCGTTTCTAGCAAGGCTCGAAGTGGATTTGTTGGACAGGGGATCTGTCCTTGTGTTACTCGCCGGTTAGCCTGCGTTCCCTGTCACGGCTTTGGAACCATTCGGGCGTCGGGGTGCTCCTGGAAATCAGAACAACACAGGACGGGGCCATTGAGGGAGGTGTACAGCCACTGCCGGCAGGATGCGAGCACCTCGTTCGGGAGTTCCAATCCGTATTTAGTATGCCGGAGGGGTTACCACCACAAAGAACCAGAGAGCACTGCATCGTCCTTCGGGATGGCGTGTCACCGCCCAACATCCGACCTTACAGATACCCGCAGGTCCAGAAGGCTGAAATAGAGAGGCTGGTGGCGGATATGATGGCTTCGGGCATCATTCGACCAAGCAGCAGCCCTTATGCAAGCCCGGTACTACTAGTCCGCAAGAAAGACGGCAGCTGGTGCTTCTGTGTCGACTACCGAGCATTGAACCAATTGACCATCCCCGACAAGTTCCCCATCCCAATAATTGATGAGCTGCTTGATGAGTTACACAGGGCAAGGGTGTTTTCTAAGCTGGATTTGAAGTCGGGCTACCACCAAATCAGGATCCGCGAGAGCGATGTGGAAAAAACGGCTTTTCAGACGCATGAGGGGCATTACAAGTTCCTCGTCATGCCTTTCGGCCTTACTAATGCCCCTGCCACCTTCCAATCACTTATGAATTCGGTATTTCGTCTGTTTTTACTCAAATTCGTATTAGTTTTTTTTTTACGACATTTTGGTGTACAGCAGGTCGTGGGAGGACCATTTCCTGCACTTGAGGCAGGTATTGGAGGTGCTGCGGAAAGAGGCTTTATTTGCTAATTTCAGCAAATGCGTTTTTGGACAAGAACAGGTACACTACCTAGGACACGTACTCTCGGCTGGGGGTGTGGCCGCTGATCAGTCCAAGATCAGCGTGATGCTGTCATGGCCTACTCCACGTAACGTTCGCGAGCTTCGGGGTTTCCTTGGCCTCATGGGCTATTATAGACGCTTTGTTCGGGGGTATGGCTCTATCGCCCGGCCCCTTACTGATTTGCTCAGGAAGGGCGTTTTCAGCTGGAATTCCGCAGCCGAGGAAGCTTTCCGTCAACTCAAAGGTGCGATGACAGAACTTCCGGTCCTGGCTATGCCGGACTTTACTAAATTGTTCGTCCTCGAAACCGACGCATCGGGTAGTGGGGTAGGTGCGGTTTTGATGCAAGAGGGCAGGCCGATTGCTTACTTTAGCAAAACTCTTTCGGTGACCTCCCGGCTGAAGTCGGTTTATGAGCGGGAACTCCTCGCAATAGTGCTGGCCGTTCAAAAGTGGAGAAATTATCTCTTAGGGCGGCATTTTCTCGTTCGTGCCGATCAGAGGAGTCTTAAATTCCTCTTGGATCAACGGATTTTACCGCCGGATCAATTGCGATTAATAACAAAACTCATTGGCTATGATTTTGAAGTCCAGTACAAACCGGGTGTAGCAAACAAGGTTGCCGATGCCCTTTCGCGTAGGGAGGAAGCCTCTCCGGTGGAATTTGCGGCCCTATCCATCTCTCACCAATTTAACATGACGGACCTCCGTCGGGGGCAACTCACAGACCCAGGGTGTCTGGAAATCATCCGCAATTTGAACCAGGGACGTTCCACGAATGAGGGTTATGACATCCGCAAGGGCATACTGTGGTTTCGAAACAGGTTAGTGCTGTCTCCTTCTTGGATTCCCCAGGTGTTACATGATTTTCACAATTCGGTCTTAGGGGGGCACTCGGGGTTCTTACGCACCTATAAACGAATTTCGGCAAATTTTTTCTAGAAGGGCATGAAGCAAGTAATCCGGGATTACGTTTCCAGTTGTGAGAAATGTCAGCAGTCCAAAACAGAAGCACTTTCACCGGCTGGTCTCTTACAGCCCCTGCCAATACCTCAGCAAATATGGGAGGATATAGCTATGGATTTTATTGGCGGACTTCCGACTTCGAAGGGCGTGGACACGGTCTTGGTAGTAGTGGACTGCCTCTCCAAATACACGCACTTCTGTCCCCTAGCACACCCTTACACGGCAAAGCAGGTGGCTTCGTTATTTGTTCGCGAAGTTGTCCGCTTGCACGGTTTTCCCCGCTCGATTGTTAGCGATCGCGACTCAATTTTCATGAGTTTATTTTGGCGTGAACTATTCAAATTGCAAGGCACTAAACTTCAGCCAAGCACTGCGTACCGTCCATAAACGGATGGCCAATCCGAAGTAACCAACCGCTGTTCGGAGACCTATCTCCGCTGTTTTGCAAGCGACAAACCGAGGTCTTGGCTTCTTTTTCTGCCATGGGCAGAATATTGGTTTAACACCTCCTATAATGCCTCCATTAAATGCTCTCCTTTTCGTGCAGTTTATGGGCGTGACCCTCCTACTCTCCATCGTTTTCAAGATGACTCTACGGCCGTCCATGAGGTTGCCACACAGCTACAGGAGCGCAATCAGATGATAGATGCCCTTAAAGAACACCTCCGCTTGGCTCAGCAACACATGAAATTGTTTGCAGACCGACACCGCAGGGAGGTACAGTTTGTTCCTGGCGATTTGGTTCTGCTGCGCCTCCGCCCTTATTTCATGAAGTCCCTCGCCCGAAAGGTTAACGAGAAGCTCAGTCCTCGTTTCTACGGACCATTCGCAGTCTTGGAGAAACTTGGTCCGGTTGCTTATCGCTTAGATTTGCCCGCTACTGCCAAAATCCACCCCGTATTTCACGTGTCCCAACTTAAGCGTTTTCGGGGACAACATTTCTAGGGTCAGCCACTTCCTCAGCAATTGTCAGCCGAACTGGAGCTAGTCGTCACGCCGGCGGCGGTGCTGGACTCACGTACTGTCCTGGTAGGGGGGCGCCATGTTCAGGAAGTTCTCGTTCTCTGGGAAGGCCTGCCATCATGGGATGCGACTTGGGAGCCTGTGTCGGTCATTAGGAATCAATTCCCGGATTTCAACCTTGAGGACAAGGTTGCACTCGAGGAAGGGAGTATTGTTAGGTCTCCTCCCATTAAGTTTGTGTATGCTAGAAAGAGGAAGAATGACAAGCAAGGGCAGGCCAGTAATTGTGGTGAGAATTAATCTTGGGATGGCAATTCGGTTAGGATTTTGTGTCTCGGGATTAGGAAAGGGGGAGGGGAATATGTTACGGTTAGAAGAGAGGCTGGCCAGGGAAACAGGGCTTAAATAGCCTGAGGATTAGTGTAGAAAGTATCGAGTATTTTGAGTTGTAATAGAAACTGTCTTGGAGGCTAGAGGGTCCTCGAATTCTCCTCACTATCTGTCATTTCCTTTCATGTAATTTTCCTTTGTTCATTCCAATTAATGAGAAAGTTTGTCTAAGAGGCATTTCCTTCTTCCCAATCTCATTTTTTATTACGTACTCAGCTAGATCTAACGGTAGGAGTCCTAGGATCCTAACATGACCACTCTTCCGGTTTTGGCTCTGCCGGATTTCTCCAAGACCTTCGTGGTGGAGACCGACGCGTCAGGTTCGGGCCTGGGGGCGGTACTGATGCAAGAGGGAAACCTATAGCATATTTCAATAAGGCTTTGTCGCCTACTTCGTGTTTGAAGTCGGTGTATGAGCGAGAATTGATGGCGGTGGTCTTGGCAGTTCAAAAGTGGCGTCACTACCTACTTGGACGACATTTCATGGTATACACAGACCAACAGAGTCTCCGGTTTTTATTAGACCAACGCCTACTTCCTCCGGAACATCTCCGTTGGATTTCCAAATTGATGGGGTATGACTTCGAAGTGCAATACAAACCAGGGGCTGCCAATCGGGTCACGGATGCTCTATCTTGCTGGGAAGACACTTGTACTTATATGGCCCTATCCATACCTCAGTTACTGGATGTCGAAGCCATCAAGCGTGAGCAGCAGACAGATGCCGTGTGTGCATAATTGATTTCTCAATTACAGGCTAGCCAAGCGGACGATAGAGGGTATAACTTGTGGAATGGCCTTCTCTGTTTTCATGAACGCATTGTGTTGCCCCCGAACTCAGCTTGGATTCCGCTCTTGTTACATGAGTTTCATGATTCTGCTGTGGGAGGACACTCTGGATTCTTCTGCACTTACAAATGGCTATCTTCCAACGTGTTTTGGTCCGGTAAGAAGAAAACGATTCGGGATCATGTCTCCCATTGTGCGACTTGCCAATGCTCCAAGTACGAAGCTCTTTCTCCGGCAGTTTTGTTGCAACCCCTTCCGTTTCCGCATTAGATTTGGGAAGACATCTCCATGGACTTCGTTACAAGACTTCCACGGGTAAAGAACATTGACACGATCCTTGATTTTTGCCCCATTGTCCACCCTGTCACAGCCAAACAGGTCGCGGAAGTCTTCATCCGCGAGATTGTCCGCTTGCATGGGATCCCTCGTACGATTGTCAGTGATAGCGATTATGTTTTCATGAGCTTGTTTTGGCGGGAACACTTTAAGCAATATGGCACGAAGTTGCATCATAGCTCTGCCTATCACCCGGAATCCGATGGACAAATCGAGGTCATCAATCGTTGCTTCGAGACATATTTACGCTGCTTTGCCGGCGACAAACCTAGGTTGTGGGTTCAATTCCTGCCTTGGGCGGAGTACTGGTTCAACACTAATTACAATGCCTCTACTATGTTCACGCCCTTTCAGGTCGTTTATGGCCGTCCTCCTCCTTCCTTGCTCCGCTTCCAGGACGTGCTGGCTACCCCGCCCAAGGATCCTGTGTTGGAGTCCGACCAAACGCCTTCATTGGTAGAAGATGTCAATCTACAGATGTAGCTTCGAAACTAGATGCTTGACTGCCTGAAGCACCATCTTGTGGTCGCACAACACCGAATGAAAAAGTTTGCGGACGCTCACCGTCGCGAGGTAACTTTTTTGCCTAGTGACTTGGTTTTGCTCAAGCTTCGTCCATACCGTCTCAAGTCTTTGGCGTGTAAGGTTCATCAGAAGCTCTCACCTCGCTTCTACGGACCCTTTCCTGTCCTCGAGCGTGTAGGGGCTGTGGCTTATCATCTACAATTACCTCCTGCGGCTCGCATCCACCCTGTTTTTCATGTTTTGCAATTGAAGGCATTCAAGGGCCGGGAGTATAAGAACTAGCCATTGCCGGTGCAGTTAATTGAGGAGTTGGAACTCGTGGTTGAGCCTGCTGACATCCTTCGCACGCGGTCAGGGCTAGTGACGCTGCTGAGTTGGCAATTCCATTAGAGGAGTTTGTTAGAGAGGAAATATAGGGGAGGGGAGGTGCGCTAGGGAGGGCATCGAATCCTGTGAAAAGTTAGTGTTGGTTTGGGAGGGGGAGAGACCTCGAATTCTCTCAATTCTATGTTTCTTTTCCTTTGGTGTTTGTTTTCTGTCGAACTTCTCTGTAACTGTGGAATAGAGGAGTGTTCATCAATAAAAGGAACCAGAACCCATCTTTCTGGGTATTTTCATTCAAATTCCTAGTGTTAAATATTCATTATCTTGATTAAGGCAGGGCAGGTACCTATCACAAACTCCTCTGTTTTCCCCCTCCGATTGTCATTGTTAAGAAGTAAAAACTGTTTGTTTCTCCTCTTATTTGTTCTGATAGTTTTATGGCTTCTGGACATGCAGAGTTTGGTTGATCTTGGCTATGATCTTGTATCTGGTGGAACAGATAACCACCTAGTGTTGGTCAATTTAAGAAACAAGGTACTCCAAGATTGTTTCTTTCTACTACTGTGCAAAAGCATTAGCAAGGAAAAAGGAAAGTCAATATTTTGTTTTGGAATATTTTGCTTACAGGGTATTGATGGCTCAAGAGTTGAAAAGGTGCTGGAGTTGGTTCACATCGCAGCGAATAAAAATACTGTTCCTGGAGATGTGTCTGCCATGGTCCCGGGTGGTATCCGAATGGGTACAGTTGTTCATCTTTGATGATCTTGCACTTTCTGATCACCTGGTAATTAATACTTTCATTTTGATCAAGGCTTATCTGATGCTTCAGGAACCCCTGCCCTTACATCCAGAGGATTTCGTGAAGAGGATTTTGTAAAAGTAGCAGAGTATTTTGATGCAGCGGTGAAGTTGGCCTTGAAAATCAAGGCTGAAAGTAAAGGTGCGTGCAGATAGTGTCATCATCGCTGGTGTTTCTGATCTCTGTGTTATCTTATAATTGCCAGAGTTGTTTGTTTATTTAGATGTCCTTGGCTAATTTAAATGCAGGTACAAAGTTGAAGGATTTCGTAACTACTCTGCAATCAAATGAGCATTTTCAATCTGATATCACTAAGCTCCGCCACGAGGTTGAGGACTATGCTAAACAGTTTCCTACAATTGGCTTTGAAAAGAAGACAATGAGATACCGCGAGTGATGTGAAGGTTTAGTTGTTGGCTAAGAGGCTACCAATGCCAGCCTCGAGTCACCTTCATTCTTTAATGCTAAAGGAGATGCCAGATATGAGAGCTTTGGCATTTCCGATTTCTATTCGACACGAGCCTAATTTGCGGGCTTAATGTATGAAATTCTTCATTTTCACTGTTATCCTTATCTTGTCAACTGATTCATTGGAAGTTTCCCGTCTTGATTATTCTTAATAATTTGAAGGTTGTATTCTATGGTGTACAATCTTGTCTTTTTTGGGCTCAAATCTTTTATCTTCTTTTGCCAATATCCACTAAACATGAGTGTTGTGAAGCCTTTCTCTATCGTTATGGTTCTTTTTTTCCTACTTTTTTCTTCTAATCATATAATGTCATTTGGAGTCACATTTGCAGAGCCATTAATTTACCCAAAAAAAAGGGGAAAAAAAAACTGTCCAACTCGAACATTATGATTCATTGTCAAATAGATCTATCCTTAAAGTCATTCTTTGACATGGCAAATTGTTATTGCCATAAAGAGAGATAGTGTATGTCACTATTTTCTAATGGATCAAAGATTCACATATTAAACTTGCGATTTATTTATCGTCCGCGGAGAAAAAGAAAAGCTTACATATGGTAAATATTTAACTGGTCTAAAAGCTAGTCCACATTTGTGAAATCCAACAATAGGTTTCTTTTTTCTTTTTTTTTTTCCGGTTAAAAAAATGGTAGTTCACGTATAGAATCCGTATTTCAATCATGAGCAATCCTATTTGTTCTCGAAAGCCACTCACTCACAAAGGATGAGCCCATCTGTAAGTTCCATATAGGTCCTATAGATTGGGCCATCCTTTGTGATAGGGTGAGGATATAATTCCATGAGTTATACAACATTTTTATACAACTAAATATAAATGCCGGCCGTGCAGGTGCAGTCAATATATTATTCGCTGCCGAATGCGGAATCTGCAATGCCTAGACTGAAGTCATCCTCGGCTACCACCAGATCATAGCAAGCTTTCTTTCCAAAAATTTCACCTTTTTTCGTATGTTTTTATCTTTTCAATCGAACGGCTATTTTTTACACCAAAATAAAAAGTAGACACAATCTCCGATTATCACTATATCAGTATATTTTGTCGCACATGTATGTGTGTACGCATGCATTTGGAAGCCAACACAAATTAACCCAAAGTAACAAAGGAAACAAAGGAGCAACAAGAATTAATTTTATGGGATTCGTTGATTGCTAAGTTTGTTGAGCTTCAAAGAAGACAAATATATTAATCTTCAGTCCTTCAACATGGTGGGCATTGCTGTACGTAACTTCTAATGGTAATCCATAACGGACCACCGTGTAATTTAGTTATTAGTAGATTCACTTGAATCTTTTAAGATGATTTTGACATGTTATACAATTTTATTCGTATGAGAAGTGAGAAATTAAATGGGAAAGAATTTGATTGCTTAATCATGGCCCGACGAGTGAGAGCTGAGAGCGACAAGCATGTTAATTTAACTGTAAAATTTATTTTATATGGGCAAAAAAATTATCCGGCTACGTCATCAAATTGTTTTTTATTTATTTGAACTTAATATTAGAAGATTTAAAATTATACATCATGTGGTGGAGTCAGATATAAAATTATCATCGGCTAAGACTAACAACCATGTAACATTTATAATAGTGGTGCAATTTAGCATATTTTTATTAGTTAATCAAAAAAAATTTACAAATAATAACAATAATAATAATAGTAATAGTAATAATAAATCGTAACGTTTAATATTACTCCCTAAGATGTATGTATATTAATAGACACCATATCTTTTAATATAAACATTAGCATTCTGATCACTCTAAGTAGTAATCTTCCTTCTTCTTTTCGTCTTTCAATGGAGATCACCACTCCGGACAAAGGAGCCACAAAAGAGAACCTCTACAAGAAGGAGACATCCGATGAGCCGATAGTCGACGAAGATGAGCTCTCGCCGGTGGAAGAAGTCCGGCTCACGGTCCCCAACACCGACGACAAATCCCTTCCGGTATGGACTTTCCGCATGTGGTTCCTTGGGCTGCTCTCTTGCGCCCTCCTCTCCTTCCTCAACCAGTTCTTCTCGTACCGGAAGGAGCCTCTTGTCGTCACGCAGATCACCGTGCTCGTCGCCACCCTCCCCGTGGGGCGGTTCATGGCGGCCGTCCTCCCCGAGACCAAATTCCGTGTCCCGGGGCTCAAGTCCCGGGAGTTCTCCCTCAACCCTGGCCCTTTCAACGTGAAGGAGCATGTTTTGATATCAATATTTGCTAATGCGGGGAGTGCTTTTGGAAATGGCTCGGCTTATGCAGTTATGATTGTTGATATTATTAAGGCCTTTTATGGTAGGAAAATTTCCTTCTTGTCTGGCTGGATTCTCATCATAACCACGCAGGTCTACTACTTCCAATAATATTAATTGTATTCTATATTATTTATGTTTATATTTCCTTAATTAATTTCTTCAATAATTAAATGTTTGATTACTTATATTATTGTTTTAGCAACATAATTATTTAGGATTACTATGGTGGTTTAATTATGCAATTTGTTAGTTAATTCATTTGAGTGCTGAAACTTATGTATTAATCTTGTTTCTTTTTTCTTTTATTTTTTTTGGCTGAAGTGTTCAATTAGCGTAAACTAAAAATACCTAACCAAATTAAGCAGTCTGCCACGAAATGATTCTTTTTTTCATTTGTTTTCAATTCCTATAAACACACATATATATACACACACACACACATATATATACACACACACACAAACAAATAACGATGAAAATATATAAGAATTAAGAAAGGCTGGCCGGCCTTTTTTTGTCCGCGCACTGGTATCAAGTCGAAACAGCTGTAAACTAATTTCCTACATAATGTTATGATGAATATAGTTGTATTTTTTTTAATCATCCAATATAGATCTAAAGCAATTACTGATTTGAATATATAGTACTTTTTTTTTTTTTTTGTGCTAATCTAATATATATTAATTGATTATATATAATAACATTTGCGATTCGCAGGTTTTGGGATATGGTTGGGCTGGGCTTCTGAGGAAGTACGTGGTGGAACCGGCGCATATGTGGTGGCCTAGCACCCTTGTTCAGATTTCCTTATTCCGGTAAGTCTAACATTACTGCTATATACTATAAATCTATATATATACATGTGCATGTACTACTATACACGGTAATCTGTCATAATCGTGACCTCCTTCAAATGTTTGTGTATATGAAATTAAATGGGAAAGTAGTGGATAGCTACTGAGCTGCAGGCTACCAAATCTCAATTTTAAGAGCACTTCTATTTGTTCTTAATTATGGGATTTTAACCTTATTCATAATGCATTAAATTTTAATGGGCTAAAACATTCTTTTTCGACTTTTTTAAAAATAAAGAAACATTTTAAAAAATGCCATAAAAAAGACAACATTATTTTATTTATGCCATTAATTTTAAATTTACCATTAATAATTTGAACTAGTTTTTCTAATTAATAATTAGAACTAGCTTTTCTTTCATCTACTTAGTCAAAAATAATAAAAATAATAAAAAAAAGAAGAAGAAGAGGTGATAACATTATCATGATCTCTAAGCCAAAAGAAAAAATACTTGTCTTGAGAGAAAAAAAGACTCAACTTTATCTTGGAAAGTGGTAATGACTTATTCCCCATTAATTTATATCGGGCGCGTTTAGAACTCGTTCTAAAATGATTTTTTTTGTATGAAAATAAAAATAAAAACATTTTCAATCTCAGATAGAAATTATTTTTGAAAATGCATTTAGTATTTTTATCAAGAGATTGTTTTCAGTATAAAAAAACTCATTAATGTTTCTCTCTCTCTCTCTGCTCGAGAGAGGAGAAAATGAAAACAAAAAATAAAAAATGGTTAAAAATTATTTTTCATTTCTCTCTCATTTTTCACTAAACTAAAAAATCATTTTTATATCCATTTTTTGTCTTTCTTGTGCCAAACACCGTTTTAAAAACGTTTTTATTTTTTCTTTTTAAAAAAATGTAAAAAATAAAAATGAGATCAATTCTAAATACGGCCATTATTTTCCTACTCATGATTTTAATGCTTTGGCCAATGACCTTTTAGTCTATTATGTAGTTGTATGACTTCATCCTCTAATTTTCCTACGTTGACTAGAGAAGTACTGGTGGGTCCACTTTTGTTGTTAGACTACCGGGGTTTGCAATTTTCCAACTTAATTCCTGTGATATTCGTCATGTTAAATTTAGATATTTCAATTGGGTTGGGCCACCCATTAAGTATAATGACACGGTACGAAAATTTTTGAGTCACGATATTATAATGGATTGAGCTAAGCACGATATAAGGTGGTGGGGGCCGAGGTCATAATTTTACCATGTAGACCTAGTATGACACGACACTATAACAAGTACAAGCACGGCAGGAATACAACACAAGCACGACACAACCCATTAAACATGACGGGCCAACACGACAAATATAAATTTTTTTGTTAATAATTTTTCGTTATTGTTACATATCTCTAAACAAATATAAAAGTTATTGTTATAAATAATTTTTCGTTAGTGATAATTAGTTGTCTCTTCTAATCAGTATTAATTTAAATAAGATAAAAAATTTATTTATAAATTAGTACTTATGATAATGATGGGATCAAGTTTTTTGTTTTTTTGTTTTTATTTTTGCTTAGTAATAGCATATGAAATTATATATTTATTTGAAAATTGTTCCAAAAAAAAGTATTTTAAATGACTCAATGGTTTAATGGGCTAACCCAAATATTGATTGTGCCAAGCACGATAAAAGCACGAGTACGAGCACAAATGGGCCTGGGCCCATGAGTCGGGTTGAGTCTATAATTTTAAATTTTAGGTTGGCACGAGCACGATACAAAGTTTCAATTGACTAGATCAAGTACGACACGAAGCACGCACGAGCCTGCCTGATTAATTGACATGTCTAGTTGAATTACATAGAGAATGAAACATTAATGTTTCCGATCAATGTTGGTAAAATGAATTTTGCAGGACCCTACATGAAAAGGAAGAAGAAGACAAGGACAACAAGCGCCGTATTTCAAGAGCAAAATTCTTTGTGATTGCCTTAATTTGTAGCTTCTGCTGGTATGTGTTCCCGGGATACCTCTTCCAAACCTTGCAAAGCATCTCTTGGATCTGTTGGGCCTTCCCTGATTCAGTTACGGCCCACCAAATTGGGTCAGGCCTAAATGGGCTTGGATTAGGAGCCTTGACACTGGACTGGTCCACAGTGGCGTCGTTCTTGTTCAGCCCACTAGTATGCCCTTTCTTTGCCATTGCAAATGTGTTTGTGGGATATGTGCTGATAATATACCTAGTGATTCCCATTTCGTATTGGGGTTTGAATGTGTTCGACGCCAAGACGTTTCCCATATTCTCCTCGGACTTGTTCACTGGGTCAGGTCAGTTGTACAATGTGTCGTTGATTGTTAATAAGAAGTTTGAGCTGGATCTTGAGCAGTACAAACAGCAAGGGAGGGTCCATTTGAGCACTTTCTTTGCTTTGACCTATGGCTTTGGATTTGCTACTATAGCCGCTACACTTACTCATGTGGCCTTGTTCCATGGAAGGTACCTTTTATTATTATTTTTTTTCTTTTAAGGAAAATGATGCACATCATACCATAACAATTCTATATAAAACAACAACAACAATTTATGATGCATTATGATACTAAATTATAATTCGTTAGGGATTAAAAAAAAAAACCAGGACAAAACAATAATTTTAGTTTTAATAAGTTCATAAAATTTTAACAATATGTATGCATTCATAATTAATTGCTCAAGTTTTATCACATGCTTTAAGTATAAGAAAAAAAATGCTAATTAATAATATCATTTATGGCAATGATATGTTATATATGATGTTTAGTGGGATAAAGACTAGTCACTTATCTTATGTATGCTTGGACCTCTACTTTATGAGAGTATATGGTAGTCTCAAATGTCACTTATGATATTTCACTTTGGTGAATAGATCAACGTTAAGTGGTCCAATGTAATGACTTGTGCCAAGCGACCATTTTTTTTTTTCTTTTGTTTATCTAATTATATCTCTGGAAATTAGCTGTTTCTTTCACAACTCAATTAAGAACTTGAGTTTTGTATGTGAGATAAAAATATTATATTAAAAATGTTGAATTTAAATTTTTGTAAAAAAAAAAATAAAAAAAAAAATACCGTAGTGATAAAATTTTAGTTGTAAAAAGAAAAAGCGTAAATATCCAATTTATTTACTATAACATGTATGACGTTGATGTCTTAAAATTCATATTGTCTCATGCAGGACTTAATAAACATTTATATTAATACTTTGGGGGGTTTAATCTCACATTGTTTAATTTTTCCAACCAATAAATTTGGTTAATGAAGAAGTACAACTATATATAACAACTTTTATAAATGAATGCATGCAGAGAGATTTATGAACGATACAAAGCTTCTTTCAGAGGAAAGGAGGATATTCACACGAGATTGATGAAGAAGTACAAAGACATACCTTCTTGGTGGTTTCATTTGCTTCTGGCGGTGACTATCACAGTCTCTCTAGCACTCTGCATCTTCTTGAAAAAGGAGATCCAGATGCCATGGTGGGGCCTTCTATTTGCTGCAGCTCTTGCCTTCATTTTCACCCTTCCCGTCAGCATCATAACTGCTACCACCAATCAGGTAATTATTAGTATAATAATATCTGAAATTCATCACGCTAATAATTACACTCACACAAACAAACACGTGATCACTGTGATCCTCTCATCGGGAGTAGCATACTGTTACCATAAAATATAAAAATGGGAAGTACAATGTGATATTTATTCAACATAATTATAACGTTGGAAAAGTGTAACAATGTTAATATCACGTTACATGTTAGACAAAATTAATGGATTTTTACTATTTATTAATGTTAATTGACTTTTTTTTTTTTAGTAAGTTCTAACTAAATTCTTGATTGACGTTTCTTTGTAACAATTATATAAATGACACATTAAACCATTTAGACACCGGGGCTTAATATCATCACGGAATACATAATGGGAGTAATACTGCCTGGAAGGCCGATAGCCAATGTATGCTTCAAGACTTATGGATACATGAGCATGTCTCAAGCAATCTCCTTCCTTGCTGATTTCAAATTAGGCCATTACATGAAGATTCCTCCAAGGTCCATGTTCCTAGTTCAGGTATATAATTATAATTTCCTCTCTCTTAAATCGTGTAACAATATTTATAGATCAGCTAACCAAATTCAGAATAAACATGCACAAAATTGCTTATTCAATTCAATATATATATATATATATATGTATATGTATATAGTTACCTAGCAAAATATTAATACTTAAGCAACTCAAAATATATGTGGTAATTACAGATCGATGATCATGCATGCATGTTTCTAAACAATATATACTAACATCTGTTCATCCTAGCTAGGGTACAAAATCCGAATTCAAATTTGTTAACAACATTACTAATATTAGATACAACTATTCCGATAATAATTAGTGACCTTTAGTACTACTATGATGTTATATATGATCAACAATATTCTTAACTCAATGGTAGATGCTACAATATATCCTTTTTTATGTATATATGGTGATATTTTAATAAGAACCATTGGATTAAAAAATATATATATTTGAACTGTTGATTTTTTTTTTTTCAATTTTTAGTTGACCATATTCTTGTTTTTCAATAATTGAGGCCCTTTTTTTTTTTTTTTTTTGTTTTGTTTTTGTTTCTTCATAATTTAGCTGAAATTTACGCTGCATTGTACATCTCAACATATGTAACATAATTTTCTAAGCAATCCAACTATTAATTCCAAACTAATTACGAGCGCATTAGACTAATTATCATCTTACAAAATTACCAAACTATCCCCAGTTCATAGGTACCATGTTAGCCGGGACAATAAACATAAGCGTGGCATGGTGGCTCCTCCACACCGTAGACAACATCTGCCACGACGGGAACAACACCTGGTCGTGCCCCAGCGACAACGTCTTCTTCGACGCCTCCGTCATCTGGGGCCTCGTCGGCCCGAGGCGCATCTTCGGCTCCCGCGGAGAGTATCCCTCACTCAACTGGTTCTTCCTCGGCGGAGTCCTGGGCCCACTCCTTGTCTGGCTCCTCCACAGGCTCTTCCCAAACCAGCAGTGGATTCCCCTCGTCAACCTCCCCGTCCTCCTCGGCGCCACCGCCAACATGCCGCCCGCCACGCCGCTCAATTACACATCGTGGATCGCGGTGGGGACGGTCTTCAACTTCTTCGTTTTCAGGTACAGGAAGAGGTGGTGGCAGAGGTATAACTACGTCCTGTCGGCGGCGTTGGACGGCGGCGTCGCCTTCATGGCGGTGCTGCTTTACTTCTCTCTCGGAGTAGAGAATAAGAGCTTGCACTGGTGGGGGTCTTACCCTGATAGAGACACTGAGCATTGTGCCCTCGCTACTTGCCCTACTGCAAAGGGTATATCGGTCGATGGCTGCCCAATATTCTAGATTTTAATTTGGTTTAATTTTTCTTAAAAATATATATTTTTGTATGTATCGATATATGTATCTGTGTACCTTATCTATGTATCACTGTAAGTGTTCATACTTTGCTATATCCCTTATATTTAAAGACTGTTTCATGTTTATACCTGCAGGTTCATCATTCAAGTACTACTATATTAATAACTGTAGTTTTTCCAGAGATTCATGTTTTAAAATTTTTAATGTTAAACCATTAGATTGATTTTTCAACAATATAATCCATGTGTATTCGCATTAAAAATTTATGATGCATCCTAAAAAAAAATTCATACTCACGTATCATACGGTTGAAAAACTAATTTAATAACTAAAATAGTAATTTTTATCAAGTTCATACTATAAAAATTCTCCACGTTTAATCAAAATTATATCGAAAAGAAAAATATATAAAATTGGCAGAATTTAGTATGAATTGGACAGTACCGAAGGCCACGTATTTTGTTTATTTTGTTATTTATTTTGATTCGGTACTATTTTATAACATATATGCATGTCAAAGGTTAACAGCGTGTCCTCCTATCAACATTAAGATGTATACTGAGATTAACAAAACTGTAATTACTCTCTTCAAATACGTTCATTAGTACTCTCGGATGATTCTATACACACATATATATTATATAGGGCATGAATTCCTAATGTGAAAACTAGCTGATTGAAAATGACTGACGAGCAAGTCAAATATATTTTCTTTTTGTCATGTAGATAGGAAATACGCTATCTAGTTAAAATTAGAAATAAGTACCGTTACAGAGTATATACACGCAGTTTGAGATCACGACACATTAAAAAAATCGTGCACGCATTTAAAAAAATATCATCTTCATTTTGATTCGGCCGTCTACTGAAAATAAAGCTAAAGTTAAAATGGGATCATTTGCGACTGTGATTGCAAACTGCCACTAAAATTGTCGAACATTTTTTTTTTTTTTTTTGTTGGTGCTGAATAACTCTTGAAACTGATCATGAAATTAGTCAACAAGTAGATATGTAATTCAATTCTATATATAGGAGATAGAAAAACAAAATAAATAATAGATCTTTAATTTAATTTTGGAAACAAAGATGTAAAAGAAACAAAATGACACACAGATTAGAGATCAATCTCATCATCTCCAAATTGAGAAAGCTTTTTTTTTTTTGGCTTGTAAAACTTTTAACATTAAAAAAAGAGAAAATTGTTGATTAATACCCTTTTAACTAATATAGTTATTAATAATCAAGAGGAAGGAATAAAAATATATAGCCATGCATTTTAAGAAGTAGTTGTCTCCTTTCTTAAAAAAAAAAAAAAAAAAAAACCAACATTTTCGAAATTTCTTACTATATAGAAATGGCAAGGTGCTTTATTTAAGGCTTCATCCAATTTTTAGAGGCTATTTCGCCCTTGGGTGCCCAACTGAATGGGCTCTAGAGTGACTCACCACCGGAATCTCATCTGCTCTTTTTTCTAGGAAAATAAAAATTTGATTAGTCAATTATTCTTCAAATTGAGAAAGCTTGAAATGGTGAAATTGAATGCAATGCAACCGTACTGATAGTGATCAACCACACACAAGAAGAGAATATTTGCTAGCGTTTCCAAATAATCGCGAACCAAAAAAAAAAAAAAAAGGAAAAGAGAACCAATTTCGGCAAAATGTTTGATAAAACATACAATTAATGATTATAACAAATTCGTGATTAACAAGTATTGTAATTTTTTAAAAATTGACTAATCAAATTGTTATACATAGTAAGAAACTTCCAAAAAAAAATGGCTTTTTTCTAATTAAAATATGTTTTCTTTTCTCTAGTGTTCAGTGTTCTTTGTTTATTAGCTATCGGATTTGTATTATTTTTTTTTAATTTTATTAATCAGATTTAATACAGATTCGACAGTTGATAAATAGAAAATACCAGTGTTCTTACAAAAATCAGAGAAAGTTCTTTTTTAAAAATTTGAATTTCTCAAGACTATTCACGGTAATTAGTAAGAGGGTTTTAAATGAGTGGGAGGTCTGTTAGTCTGTCTGTGTGTGAAAAGGACCTAACCAAATTTCCATCGCCGTGGTGGCCTCTTGGATCTGTAAAAGCTAATAAATGCCACTTAATAGTATAATATATATATAT